CTACATTTTTGACATATTTTCTCCATGTGTAATTCTGACAGATGCATGTCACCATGCGCTGGTTATTGATAGTGTGCGCTGAGCCCAGGTTATGTGAAAATGTGCGTGTGTTGGAGTAACGCTGACAGACACCTACAAGCCCCCCCTTGGCTGGTGGAAAAGCTCAGGTCCCATCCATCAGCCCTCGCCATGTGAGGCCCTTCTCTCAGTCTAGCTGAACAGGCCTCCCTCAGCGTGCCATGTCAAACTAAACACAGCTCCTCTGGCCATGTCCCCACATTCTCCATATCTGCAGGCTTTCACCTCGTCACATGATGCTCCAACTTCTTCAGCCCTACACTTCTGTTGCTAGCGGGGTATGCTAGTTTGCAGAGTTGGATAGCATCTAGTTAGATTTACTCAGTTGCACAGTAAAAGTAAAATTTTGATGGACTTCTCTGAGTATTATTATATACTATTACAATACAATATATAGCTTTTGCTTCTATTATTTCACTCAGTTACCTGTTAGTCATTACCATTTACAGTCATATTCATAAGTTTGGGCACCCCTAGTCAAATTTCAAATTTCACTTCTGCATATTTTAATGTCCAAATACTGTTTATTTGCTGAAATTAACATATTGGAAGAAAAACATACAAGGTGGCCTGTGCAAAAGTTATGGCACATTTTATATTTTATTTTTTTGGTATGTTAAACTAAGCAGATGAATGGAAATTTTGCAGTACAATGTAGAGAACAATGCCATATTTTTGTTAGTTTTTTGTTAGTGGTCACACCTCTGACATCATTTATTTCAGACTAGTAGTGCATTAAAAAGAGAAGAAGAGAATCTTAACAAACTTCAGTTCTTATGCAGATAGTTGCTGAAGTTCCTTTGCGGACGTTACTCAGTACTTACGTTGTTTTTTTTATCTGCTACTTTTGTACTTCTACAAAAAGTATAAGTTATTTTACGGAAAGATATGTTTACTTTTACTTGAGTCATTATTTTACTAAAGTAACAATATTTTACTTCACCCACTGACCCCTGTTGACATGAATTGATCCTAAATAGTCATTGTAAGATTGGCATGATCTTAGGGGGAATTTCACAAAGCAGGATTTCCCAGTTTAGCCAGATAACTTAAGCCTAAGTCAAACTGTCCAATAAGAGAAGAGCTAAGGGACATTTCTATTGGACAGTCCTCACTTTGGGAAAAAGTTACTCAGCTTTACTGCAAAATAAGGCTCTGAACAATAATAATAATACATACATACATACATACATACATACATCATCTAAACCGCTTATCCTTCTGGGTCGCGGTGGGGTGCTGGAGCCTATCCCAGCTGTCATTGGGCGGAAGGCAGGATACAACCTGGACAGGTCATAATAATAATAATAATAATAATATATACACTTCATTTATATTGTACCTTTCCAAAGCTTAAAGTCTCCTTTCAAAGCATTACAATCAGAACCTAACAACAAAGCACAAGAACATCAAGTAAAACAAAAAGAAACAACAAAGAACAGAAGCCAGTAATCAAGCATGGTGTTAAAAACAACATATTGTACTGTATATTGGCTGAACTGAAGAGTAGAGGCTGAATTGTGGTTGAGGAAGAACTGAATTGAAGCTTAATTGAAACTGAGCTGAATCTGAGTAGCGGATGAGGTGAGGCAGAGTCAAGGCAGAGTTAAGGCTTAATCGAGACTGAGTAGTGGCTGAGTCAACACTGAATTGAGGCTAATTTGAGGCTGAGTCAAGGCTGAATTGAAGCTGAGGCAGTCCTGAGTGGAGGCTGAGTGGAAGTCGAGTCGAAGCTGAGTGGAGGCTGAGTCGAAGCTAAGTCAAGTCTGAGTCGAGTTGAAGCCAATAATGAAGCATAGTGTTAAAAACAACATATTGTCATTGTCAGAACCAAACCTTCATTTTTATCATTTTATGGTTTTATTTTTATGTTTTTTACAGAATTTGAAAATGACGTTTTCCATTTACACTGTGTTAAAAGTTCATGATGGAAGGATTTTACATTCACTTCCATTCAAATTTATAAACTTTCTCTTTTTTTTCCTCTAAAATTAACATTTTGGAGATGCAAAGTCCCCCAACAGTGAAGTTATAAAAGCAAGGGGGAAAAAACAAGAAACCGAATATAGAACAAAAGAAATAAGATGAATAGGACAAAAATTGTTCATGTCAATATTTTAACATTTAAATACCTCTGGTTGACAGTGACCCTTGACCTCATTCCTCCTCGTCCATTTTTTTAATGAGTGACAAAATATATTTCATTCCATCTATCAGTCTAATCGATAAGTCCATGTTTAGCTGCTATTCATTGAAGAGTTAACAGTGCTGCCAGTGACTTCAGTGTTTTGTACATGCTCTATTATTCTACTTCTACCAGTGTGTAAACTCTGCTTTGTCAGCACTTTCACACATAGTTCTTTTCATACTAGAACACTTTCTCTCGCTTTATTATGACCCTTATTACTGTGTTACCCCCCATGATCACATATATGTGTGTGTTTCTTCTTTTCCTCCTTTGTCTCTGGCACAATAACATCAGTGAGCAGGCGCTGCTGCAGTGCTGGCTGCGTGTCAGGCCAGGTTAGCGTCTGTTGGCTGGGTGGGGGCGCTCCTGGAAATGGGCACGGTTAACTCAAGCATGTTAATAGGAAAAGGCTTGTCTCTTCCATACTAACACTTGGATGACTCTGCAGGCTTTGAAGGGGGTTAGAGAGAAACAGGGAGGGGTGAGAGAGAGACAGAGAGAGACAGAGAGAGAGAGAGAGAGAGAGAGAGAGAGAGAGGGAGAGAGGCCTTCCATACACATAAACACAGTTTTTGCTCTCCTACTCCCCGTCTGAGCTGAAGCTGAACTGAATCTGAGTTGAGACTGAACTGAGTTGAGGAAGAGCTGAATTGAAGCGTATTTGAATCTGAGCTGAATCTGTGTAGAGGATGAGATGAGGCTGATTCAAGGCAGAGTCGAGGCTAAATAGAAGTTAAGTCAAGGCTGGATTAAGGCAAATCTGAGGCTGAGTTAAGGTTGAATCAAAGCTGAAGCAGTGCTGAGTGGAGGCTGAGTCGAAGCTGAGTCAGGGCTGAGTTGAAGCGGAGTCGAAGCCAAGTCGAGGCTGAGTCGAAGCTGAGTCAAGGCCGAGTTGAAGCTAAGTCAAAGCTAAGTCGAGGCTGAGTTGAAGCTGAGGCGAGGCTGAGTCAAGGCTGAGTTGAAGCTGAGTTGAGGCTGAGTAGAGGCTAAGTCAAAGCTAAGTCGAAGCTGAGACGAGGCTGAGTCGAAACTGAGTAGAGGCTGAATTGAGGCTGAGTTGAAGCTTAGTCGAAGCTGAGTCGAAGCTGAATCGAGGCTAAGTTAAAGCTGAGTCGAAGCTGAGTTGAGGCTGAGTCGAGGCTGAGCCAAAGCTGAGGCAATGCTGAGTGGAGGTTTAATTACGGCTGAGTTGAAGCTGAGTTGACGCAGAGTTGAGGCTGAGTTGAGGCTGAGCCAAAGCTGAGGTGACTGAGTTGATGCTGAATTAAGGCTGCGTTGAGGTTGAGTCAAATGTTATCAAACTTCCGCTCAGCGATAAGCGCAGCGGTAAATAGAGCACATTGTGGCAGACGCTTGTGCCACGAATCCTGTTGGAAATAATGAGTTTGAAAGTGCATCTCAATTTGCGTTCAGCGTGAAAAGAGCTGTGTTCAGACGGTGCAGCTTATCCTGCTAGAAATCTGCATCTGAGCCGCGAGGTTGTGATCATTTCTGCAAAGCAGAGATTGGATCTTTATATTCAACATCACATCACACATCCCTAAAAGGATAAACTAAACGTATTGCACTTCATTTTGGAGGAGAAAAAGTCAACCCATGGAAACATTAGCAACATTACTGCGTGGCCTGAACACAACTGGCAAAGAGACCCATCTTATTTCTACATGACAGTTAACTACTCGCCAAGCTGCAGTGGTCAGGGGTCTGTTTCTCGAGGGTTTTAAGCAAACCTTGGTGATGATCATTTCCAGGATGGTACATAGACCAGTGCATTAGTATTTGTCTTTGAGCTGAGTATTTTAATCACAAGTGTGAGTAAATCTGTCCTACTGTACAGCCCCACATTCACCCTCTGGTTCAGTTTAGTTTTACCCTCTTTTTTGATGGGTTACCTCGTTAAGAGTGACGCATGATGAGTGGAGCTGTTCAGATGAAGGTGAACATTCACACTCCTGTAAGGCTGCTTAGTTGACTTATTGGTGCATTTAGGATCAGCAGTGATTTCAGTCAGTCTCAGCCTTTGTTTACAACATGGCCGGAAGTCATTTAATGCTACTGTTTACACTTCTACATTAACGAATGTGGAAGTGTGAAAATGGTCTATTAATGAAGTTTTCTGTCTCTCTCTATCTCTCTCTCTCTCTCTCTCACTATTTTCACTTTCTACCTGTCTCCTCTTTGTTTCTCTCTCTCTCTTTTGCCTCTTTCTGCATGTCTCTCTCTCTCTCTTTCTCTCTCTCTCTCTCCTTTCTTCCTGCCTGTCTCCTCGTTCTCTCTCTTTCTCCTCTCTTTCTTTCCACCTGTCTTCTCTTTCTGTCTCTCTCCTCTTTCTTTCTGCCTCTCTCTCTCTCCGCATGTCTCTCCTCTTTCTCTCTCTCTTTTCTTCCTGCTGTCTCCTTTCTCTCTCTCCTCTCTTTCTGTCTGCCTCTCTCAATCACTCTCTCTTTCTCACTGTCTGCCTATCTCTCTTCTTTCTCTCTCTTTATCTTTATCTCTCTCTCTCTCTTTTCTTCCTGTCTGTCTCTCCATCTCTCATCTTTCTCTCTCTCTCTCTTTCTCTCCCTGTTCCTTTTCTTCCTGCCTTGTCTCCTCGCTCTCTTTTTCCTCTCTTACTTTCTGCCTCTCTCTCCTCTCACACTCTCTCTCTGTCTCTATCTCTCTCTTACTCTCTCTGCCTGTCTCTCCTCTTTCTCTCTCTGCCACTTTCTCTCTCTGTCTCTCTCTCTCGCTGCAGGCCATGGAGGCTCAGATCCAGACTGTTGGACAGACGCCATCTCAGTTGCTCATCGAGCCCCATCCTCCTCGCAGCTCCGCCATGCACCTGGTGAGCGCACCGTGTGTGTGTGTATGTGTGTGTGTGTGGGTGTGAGTGTGTGTGTGTGTGCATGCTCAGATCATTCACAGTGACTGAGCATGTGCATGTGTGTGTTTGCAGTGCAGCTCCGTCTTGCACCATGAGAGCTTATTATTTCAAGCGAGGGCAGTCATGTCTGACCTTCACGCATCTCCCCAGCGAACAGCATGGCTGTTTTTCATGTCCATATGCCTTCCACTTTAATGACCATATCTTCATCCTATGATGATATGATGTTAATATACACCGCTGGAAGCTGCAGAGAGTTCGGGAGCAGATGTGACATCAGAAAAACTCAGCTCAGGTAGTCACTGGCTGCACTCTTAAAGAGGACGTATGATGGAAAACTACATTTTCCTTATAAGAAAAAAGAGTTGAACGTTGTATGTAAACAGTGTTAAAATTTCACTCCCTAGTCCACTCAGACCGTATACGAGCTGCAAGTTGGTCTGTTTTGAGCTCATTGTGTTGTGATGTCACAAAACAAGCAAAACTTACATATATCCACCTAATTCAGCAGGTCATCCCCCCTGTTCAGATTAAAATTGGACTTTTTTCAGCCAGGCATAATACAGGGCAGCCAGTCACAACACAGGCCATTTACATATATCAGTCTTAAATGCACAACAATGAAAACCTTTTCTAATTCTACATTACAAGGAAAGGTTTGAAAATGTTCATGTAAAAATGAATTATGATCGTCAAGTCACTGTCATTTAAATACACTGTTATAAATAAAGGTTTTTCATTCATCAGTGTACAAACAATGTAAATGTTTTCTACAGGTACAACAGTGGTTTTAAGGTCCAGTTGTGAACCTTAAATAAGTTTGTCCAGGTGAAAAGTACAGATTTGTACCTTTTCATAACCGAATGTTCTAAAACAGAACAATAAAATAAGAAGCCTGGAGACGAGACGGGATGTGTGGAGTCAGTACAACTTGGATCATGGTACAATTATGTTCCCTGACTAAAGGTACTGAGATGTACCCTTGAGGGTCCCACCCCAGTGACAAGAGGGGTATTGCCCAAGTAGCAGTTTAGTACCTTTATTTCTGAGAGTGTAGCACATTAAAAGACAGTAAGTGATGGTCAAAGTGCTTTTTGGTACATAAAACCACAGAAACAAGTGGACCTCAGGGAAAAAAATAAATGCTACAGAATTGTAGGATATGGGCCCTTAAAAGTAAAAGTCCCAAAAGGGGGTTTTGGAGCAACGCCACCTTTCAATAAACGGATCTTTACAGAAACCTTTCTGTAAATGGGATGTATCGCCACTGTTGGGACAAAACCTCGTATCTCCGTTTTTTTCATTTTTCATTTTTTGACCTAATTTGAAAACGGCAGCTGCCCTTTATGTTGTTTCGAAGTTTTATGATGAACGGACTAACAGAAATGGTCCAAAATTACTTATAAAAAAATGTTCTCCCATTACTTCCATTAAAAGTTAAGAACGTTTTTCCCAGTGCTGTAAAGTTACCTTTTTGGAGATACGAGGTTTTGTTTCAACAGCAGCGATATTTTGATATCATGTAAAGCTTCTGCATCAAATAATGAACTGTTTCCTAGAACCAAGAGAAGAACCACTTATATATCCGTCTATATCTTTATTTATATTTTTAAGATATCTTGACATACTTTTAAAAGTGCACAGTGTCCTCAGACTGACAGCTCTCTACTGCAGAGCTCTTCTGAGAGAACAGCACTCCCTACTGGTCATGTGGCACCTCAGTCTGCATTACTGACCTCTATTGTCTGTTTTCTATTACTGAAGTAACTTTCTTTGTACTTTTCTACAAAATACACTACAATTAAAAGTTTGGAATCCATTTTTGATGATATAAAATGAATGTTGTTGCAGATGAAAATATAAAATGATTTAAATGTAAGTAAAATTTACAGGTTTCAAATAAGTTAAGGAAGCTAAAGTAAAATGTTATTCTAATTAACCCTTGTGAGGTGTTGGGGTCTGTGTGACCCATTTTCAATGTTTACCAAGAGAAAAAATGATGTGATTTATTATTATTTCAACCTCAGATTCCTTGGCCTCATTTTCTGTTAAGAACATATAAAATAACACATTTTCAGTGCCTTCACTCTGTTCACCCCCTACACATTTATATTACACATGTGGTGTTGGGTGAACCCGCGGGGAATAAAACTGTGGTGCTGTGTCCCTTCACTCTGTTCTCCTCCTACATGGCCTGCTGTTAGTGTGTTTGTGTGTGAGGGTGGACAACATGGTCAGGCTGCTGACTGGCTACAGCTGCTAAAGGAGAACCCTTTGCTGGCCACTTGTGATATTTTAAACATGTGGTGTTTTTACATAAAGTGTTACGGCTGTATTGATTTGTGGACCACCGGACCACAGATTAACAAAAACATCAACACCACACAAGGGTTAATATCATAGAATTCCCAGTACTTCAATAGTGGAAATGATGAAAAAAAATGTCTACACATATATATATATATATATATATATATATATATATATATATATATATATATATATATATATCGCTGCTGTCAGAAGAAAACATTGTATCTCCATTTTTGTTGTTTTTTTCAGCTTTTGACATAGTTTGAAAATGCCTGTTACCCTTTACATTGTGTGTAAATTTCATGATGAATGGACCAAAAGAAATGGCCCAAAAGTACTTGGAAAGTGTCTGATTCCATTGACTTACATTAAAAGTGAAGTATGTAAAGTATTAAAAGTAAAGTTATCATTTTGGAGATACAAGGTTTTGTTCTGACAACATACATATATATAGTAGTCAGTAGATAAATACTACGGATGTCAAACAATTAAAGGGCCCATATCAAAGAAAACTACATTTTCTTCATTTTCTTGTTTCAAAACATATCATTCACTCCCCACTCCATACAGCCCATATATGGAAACTAAACTGCAAATACAACCTTTTTTGAATACAGTGTCTTTGTGATGTCACAAAAAAACCAATGCATTTACATATATCTGCTTATTGTAGTCTACAGCAGTTTTGCCCCACCCATTAACGCTAAAGTTATAAGGAGTGGTTTTAGCCTGCACCGTTTTCAGAATGAGGCACAGTACAGTGCAGCCAATCAGAACAGATGTAATTTATATATTTTAGTCTTTAAGGGTACAAAAACAGCCTGTTTAATTCTAGGGCTAGAAAATGGTCTTGTAAAAAATAAATGACTGACGCTCACATCACAAGTGGACCTCGCAATTAATCACATTATTTTTTGTAGTTAAATTGTGGTTAATCTCATTTGTCAAATAAATATTTTTTTGTGTGTTCTGTTATAACTATATGAACGGACACAATATGCTTCATTAATGTATTTATTCCTTTCAATAATGCGAAATGTGAGTGCAGATTCCAAACCTGAACATGAAAACCATGTGAAAGCAGGGCGAACATGAAAACAAGGTCACCCATTCCTATTGTTATCATCAACATCCAGTGAGAGCAACAGTGAATGTATCAATTCCTTTGAGACTATAGCACTATCTTAACTTTTAATATGAGAGGTGATTCCACACTTTGGAACGATAGTTATTTATCTAATGCCTAACACACATTTACATTTACATATGTAGTTTGAAAAGTTTAAAGCAGCTGCAATGTGAACAAACATGGCAAAGGGTGCAGAAAGTGCTGAAATATAGAATATAGCCAGTGCCAAGTCAATTTTGTCACAAATTAACGATCTGCTCCTAATGTTACAGCTATGAGTGAGTTTTGCAGGTGAGCGAATCTCACATGCATGAGCACAGCTGTGTTATTTACCACCTTGCTTTAACATCTTGAAGTGGTATTGAAAATCATTTGTCTTTTGAACTTTGCCCTGTGCCTTGAGCATATTACTGCACCCCCACCTCATGCACACATATACTCCACATCTTTCCCCAAACCCCAGTAAAACTGCTTAACTGGACTTGTGCTCACTTCTAACAGATGGGAGCCTTCACAGTCTGTGTGTATCATGGGAAAATATAGGTTGGTGTGCTTGTAGATCTGTTCGCTGTTGTACTTATTATAGTCAGCTTTAAAAACAGGTATCAAAATGTACAGTAATTAGAGTGGATGCTACATTAAACTTCAGCTCAGTTAGGTAGTGGACAAATAGCAGCTCCATTAGACATTTATGTAAATGAATGGTGTCCAACCACTGTTTCTTTAGTTTTGCAATGGAACTACAAGTCTAGTGTAGCCAACAGCTAATAGCAGCTTATATTCCACAAATGAACCTTGTGCAAACTGCACAGACTGCATTAGTAATTTTAAACAGTCTTGCTTATTTGGTTTCTAGCACCATATGACATACTTTTATTTAGGGATGCACCAAAATTTCGGCCACCAAAAAGTTTGGGCTAAAAATGCTTTTTTTTGGTTATTGACCAAAAATGAAAAACAGCTGAAAATTACAACAAACAAAGCTACAACAAAGTGTCAAAATCTAACATATTAGGCAAAGAAATAAGGATAATGAAAATGAGAAATAGTTCAATGCTGTTCTGCACCGGTCAGTGAAGACCCATTCAAACAGTTTGAGCAGCAGTAGATCAACAGTGAATGTGTCAGCTCATATGGAACTATTTTGTGGTTTCTATGAGGGACATTAAACATGCTATTGGCAATCAATGTTCATGTCAGGTATCAAGAGTGGATACAACACCTGAGAACTCCACTACAGGTTTGATATACATCCGGCTCAAAGCTAAAAGGAGAGTCCTTGCTGGCATGCTAATGCCATCTATAGCAAAGTATAACTTTAAAAATAATGGAATTCTTAGGCTTGAAAGACCAACTATACCCTGTTGTCGAGGAAGTGTTTGTGTGTTTTGTTTTGTTTTGTTTTTCAGCCCTGTTTGTCCTGAATTTTGATTTCTGTCAAAGATTCTTATTTCAATGCATCACTACTATTATGTATAGCTAAAAACAGTACTAGCAGGCATCTTGAAGCCTTAATTTTGTCCATACCTTGTCCATATAGCATGTCATACAGCATCAGAAACCATATAAGCAAGTCTAATTGAGATTATTTAACAATCAACACAACTTGAGCTAAGTCTGATGATTTAGACATGCAATTTGCACAATGCTAATTTCATACATATAAGCTTCTATCACATGTTAGCTACATTGGCCTCCATAGAAAAAAAATTAAGAAGCAGTCTTTTGCCTGATCAAATACATTTGGAGTAAGGATCAAATTTGAAATTTTGCTGTTATTTTAAGCCTACAAGTTATGCTTTAGTACACCTAGCCTTTTAATTTCTTTGCACATGAGTTAAGCAGAATGTAGCTGAGCCATAAGACAATCCCCTCTTTGACTCGTCCTCCCTTGCTCCATTGGTCCCCTCCTTTTTCTTTCCACTTCCCCCAAGACTAATTACTTCTCTCTCCATCCCCTCTCTGCTCCCTCTCTCCCTCCTCCATCTTCCCTCTCTCTCTCCTCCCTTTGCTCTGTCTCTTCATTAGTGTTTCCTTCCACAGAGTCCCCTCATGTTTAAGGAGCAGATGCAGCAGGACGTGATCATGGTCTTGAAGTTTCCCTCCAACTCCCCAGTTACCCATGTGGCCGCCAACACGTTGCCCCACCTAGCCCTTCCAGCCGTCGTCACGGTAACCTGCAGCCGGCTCTTTGCCGTCAACCGCTGGCACAACACTGTGGGTGAGTGTGGACAGACTGATGCTGGAGCTGGCTTTTGTGTGCATCATTAAAACAAAAGGAACCAACATGATAAAGAAATATAATCAGAGGAGGAGGGCCTGAATAAATTGGCTAGCTCATAACTTGTTCACTCATGTTTAGCAGGCTGAAGATTCTCTACAAAGGGGAGCTAGTGATGGGAGGCATAGCTGGGGTAAAGCCAGTGCTATCATAATCTTTTCCCCGCTTCTTGTGGTGGTGTCTGCATGTAAAGTACCTGGAATAACCAATTTGCACAAACCCAATTCCAAAAAAGTTTGGAACAGTATATGATTGCAAATAAAAACAGAAGTCAGTGAATTATTTAATGTACTTTGACCTGTGTTTCAGCAAAAACAGTACAAAGACAAAATGTTTTTTTTTCCTTTATCAACTTCACTGCGTTGTAAACCCACGCTTATTCTGAAACTGATACCTAGAACACATTCCAAAAAAGTTAGGATGGGCCAATTTAAGATTCAAAAAATGTCCTTAACATGTGTTGCAATCATGCTTGGGAAGGAGCATCCAAGGCCTAGTTTCAAAAATGCGTCTACAAAAAAATCCAGCAGTTTAAAAATAGTGTTCCTCAGCAAGCGATTGCAAGAATTTTAGGTATTTCACCATCTACAGCGCATGATACCATCAACAGATTCTGGATGTCTGGAAAAGTCTGTGCCTAAAAAGCAAGGTCGAAAACCACAGCTGAATGCCCATGACATTTTATCCCTGGCATTGGATAAAAAAATTTGCATGAGGGCTATCACCACGTGGGATCAGGGATACTTTGACAAACCATTGTCATTAAACATGGTTTATCACTGCATCCAAAAATGCAAAACTGTACTATACTATGCACAGCAGAAGCCATATATCAACAACATCCACCACTTACTTCTCTGGACTCATTTCAAGCTCATTTGAAATGGACTGATGCACAGCGGAAACGTATTGTGGTATGAAAGCTCAACCCTCCAGATTGTTACCAGTGTAAAGTTCAAAAGCCAGCATCTATTGGAGGCATATTAGAGCCTATAGCACTGGTAATTTGCACATCTGTGAAGGCACGAATAAATTCAACTTGTCAATACCAAGAAACAGTCTGCATATGTATGCACAAAAACATGGCTCTGTAATCAGAGAGTGTGGAAGCTAAACTGGCCTCCTGCGGACAAACCTGTGTTCAGTTGAAAATGTGTAGCACATCACAGAGCACAAAATACAGTAATAAGGGCCTGTGTGGCTGTGCAGTTTATAAACCTGTACAACTGAAGAATGCCAAAAAAAATTGGCTTTCACAACTGGATTGGTGACTTTAGTTCCCAAGTAATTAGTAAGGGTTTTTAAAAGCAAAGGTGATGCCACACAGGAGTAAACATGCACCAGGCCCAGTATTTTGGGAGTGTGGTGCAGGCATCAAATTTAGAATAAGGTGAAAGATCAAATGTCATATTTTCAGTGTAATTCAGATATTTAAATGTTCGAGTGTTCCAGTTTTGCAGTGGCTGGACTGTGTCACTCTTAGTTGGTGTAACACTTACATAGTCACGTACCTTTATGCATGAAAGGAAACAAAAATATGTGGTCATAAAATGTTCACACACAAAGGCCACCCACTGCTGTTTCCTACTTGAAATTGGTAAAACTGCACACACACATACACACACACACCTTGACACTTCCACTCCACATGTTCCCACTTGGCAAAGTGTTACCCACCCTAGCCCCTCCCCAGGAAGTGGCCTCACCTGCATGTCAAAGGTTGAGCGCCTTGATTACAGGCCAAATTAGCCAATGACGGCCAAGCCTTTCTCCCCACACCTCCCCAGCTGTCACTGCAACGTGCTGTGATGTCAGCACCAGCGGTAACGGCTTGGCTCTCTCGCTCTGCTAATGGCCACAGCTGCAAAAAAGGCCTATTTCAGCTGCACTGCATGAGCACCAGAATAAGGCCACCAGTCCCAAAATGGGCCCGAAATGGCCCCCTCTGGGCTGCAGGCCCGCCTCAGGGGTGTCACAGCTCTGGCTGGCCTGACACTTAACAGAAAAAAATCAATAGGTGTCGTAGAAATCGTACCGGTGGGTTTGTTAAAGCCCCCCATTGAGCACAGAAGGGGTCAGAGAGTGGTCTTGACTTAGAGTGTGCATGGGGCTTGATTGCCTGGTGTGAGTGTGGAAAAATATGTAGTGGGCAGCCTTTGTACACTATTGTTTAAAAGTTTGGAATCATCATTAATAATTGACGTTATTTTGTCTCATGATAGTTTATACAGTGTAGACTGAAGTACCATAAGCTAGACACCAGAAGGCGTTTATAGGTTATGTTTACATTAGCAGGTTGATGGAGCACAAATACAAGTTATGTTTGCCTTAATGTGACACACATCTTCACAGCTGTGTAAACACTTTTCAAATCAGATTTGAGTCACATTTATATACTGTTAGAAATAAGGGTACTCTTTTATTCATCAATGTACAAACAATGTAAATGTACCCTCAAAGATACAACAGTGGTTTTAAGGTCCAATTGTGTACCTTAACTAAGTTTTTTTCAAGGTGAAAAGTACATATTTGTACCTTTTCATAATCTAATGCTTTAAAACAGAACAGTAATATAAAAAGCCTGGAGATGAGGCAGAATGAGTGGAGTTAATACAACTCAGAAAATATAATTTCAGTGGATTTTGTTACAATAATGTTCCCTGACTAAAGGTACTGAGATGTACCCTTGAAAGTACCACCCCGGTGACAAGAGGGGTACTGCCCCAGTGACAGTTTACCACCTTTTTTTCTGAGAGTGTAGATCGCATGCTCACTTGCATGTGCACTTATGGGTCCTTTCAGTTTAGAGGAGTGTTCATAATAATAATAATAGATATAATTCACTGACAAACTCATTTGTCTAGCTTCCTAGGAATGATGAACCTGAGTACCAGCATTTTCACAGTAGTCGTAAAATGTGCTTTCCATCTGTTTTGGAGGTCCCTTAGTTCAACTATGCATTTTTTTCTTCAGTAACTTTGATGGAATGTATTTTGATGGAAGTGTGTATGATATACAAAACTATAAGTGAATTAGATCTTTATCTTCATGGGAGCAAAGATAAGTGTTTTCAGTGTCTATACATTTTAATCTCAGTACAGCTGTGTGGAGAGCTTTGAATGGTGGGTTCTCACACCCTCCCCTTTCACTCCTAATTGCTCACTAGCAGCTCAACACAGTCATAACATTTCACTCTCAGAGAGCGAACAATGATATATTAATTAAAAATATCTGAGTCAGTTTCCATCCAGCTGCTGAAATGGACAGTGATGAGCCTGCAGAAAGAAGCTACTGATGTTTCCAAACATTTGAACAGTGTTGTATGTGTGTGTCTCACAGGTCTACGAGGAGCTCCAGGATACTCATTAGAACAAGCCCATCATCTGCCTATTGAAATGGACTCTCTGATTGGTGAGCATGAACTGTCCAATACTAAGTCCACTGGATGGTTCATAATACAAAAGGTAAATCATCAGAACAGCTAAATTATTTGCTCTTTCATTGTTCTAGCCAACAATGCAGGGACAAACAAGAGGCAGATCACAGACCTGGTGGATCAGAGCATCCAGATTAACTCACAGTGTTTCGTGGTAACAGCAGACAACCGTTACATTCTGGTCTGTGGCTTCTGGGACAAGAGTTTCCGCGTCTACTCCTCAGAAACTGGTACGGGACATGCAGGAGGGAGATATTTAAGGCCATATTTACATCATGTGCAAGATCTGTTGCACATCTGGTTATTCTTACTTTATAGATTAGATATTTGGTATTAAAGCAGTAACTTGATGCTCTAGCATCATGTGAACTCCTGTAGCCTTGTACATCATCATGAAATGCTGTTTATTATTATAATATTAATTTTTTATGAAAACATTTTCATTTTCAGTTTTAAGTCAGACAACCTCATTGGTTCATTTCTTTTGAGTGTGACATAATTTCTTCTAGCTCCATTTTTTCAGTGACACAACATATCAAAATATTGTTTAATTCATTATTTTGTTGTTGTCAAAAATGTTTTGATACCTTTTTAGTGTCCTGGCAGTTTGTAAATAAATTTATCTTGGCTATTAGGGCCAAGTTGCTAACAACAGGAGGTGTGTATGACGCACATGTCCACCTCAGATTCTTTACTTTTATTGTCTTTATGCTTGTTGATAAAAAGCTTGTTGATAACAAGCATAGTAGTATCAGGTCCACTAGTATCAAGCTTCCAATGTGTCTGTCTGTCTGTGACTGTGTCTGTATGTGTGTGCAGGCAAGTTGACACAGATCGTGTTTGGCCACTGGGATGTCGTCACGTGCTTGGCGCGTTCTGAGTCATACATCGGGGGCGACTGCTACATTGTGTCTGGATCTAGAGATGCTACGTTACTGCTGTGGTACTGGAGTGGACGACACCACATTATAGGAGACAACCCAAACAACAGTGAGTATATAAAAACTACATTAATATTAGCTTGATTACCAGCAACAGTTTGTGTATTAAAAATTAAAAGCCGCCCGAAAAACACTCTTCACTTCTTTCTTATCTTGCAATTCATTATTGAGCTTATGGATAGCTATTCAAAAAGTACAGTTCATACTTGACTTCACATCAAGCCGTGATAGTGGTCTTTTAGGATATAGATCCTTGTAGAGTCTCTGGGCACTTGACATCAGTTTGGCTTCTGCTGTTTCACAAGTTTCGTAACACAATCTGGATAATAGCAACTGGTTAAGGAATAAATATAAATGTAAATACTGATTGATATCAGAACCACAATCTGTGAGTGGAGTGGGACAAAAATGATGCAGCGGTTTATGATTATCAGTGGAAAACCATGACTTTAAGAGGTAGGCCCAAATATCAAAATAACTTTAAAAAACTAATTTATGATTCATTACTATTAGACCCCTAGGGTATTTTTAATATTATGTTAGTGTTAAATAAATGCTGGTACACATCGTTTGGCCATTTGAAAGACATTCCATTTGTTGTATTTTAAGCTTCTAACAGACATTAACATATATTTTCCCTTGTATGTTGTAGTATTACTGACTTTTTCAGTAAAGACTGCTGGCATGAATCCTGGTTAGACAATCACTTGTATTTACAGTCAGTGACATATCTATAGCTTTGTTCACACAGCAGGTCAAAGTGGGTCAAATCCGATCTTTTTCTCCATATGTGGCACAGATGTGTATCTGTGTGTCAGTGTGAACAGCAAAAAATGCATTGAATCTGACATTTTCAATTCCAATTAGAGACACTTTCGTATGTGGTACTGATATCCGGTACGTATCCGATCTGCGGCAATGCGACTCAGTCTGAACAGCCAGATCGGAATTCGTGCGACTTTTAAGTCAGTCCAACTCGACATTCGTAAGACTTGGTCTAGATGATGCTTTTTCACAACATTGTAAATTAAAATGTGATTTGTTGATTCCACAGTCAGTTCATAATTATGTAATGCATTAGTCTGTCTAATGCATTAGGCTGTCAGTTCAGCTCCTGAAGTCCCAACCAATGGGGGAGCTCACTTAGCTGTGTCTACTTAGATATCACAGAAAAAAAAATCTCGATTGGACAGTGTTGGTGTTATAAAATCTTAACCTTTTTGTTTACAACTAAAACTTACAAAGAAGTAAGAGTATTTTAAATTATCCACCATCTAACTTCAGCTTGATTACGCATCAGAAAACTACATGCAATCTAGCCTAACTTTATGACCTTTCACATACGTAGAAAATAGCATTTGAAGTTATTAACACACTCTAAATTATATTTTGAGGGAAAAAAGTTTCTCATTAAGTTGAAGGTTTTTTTGCCAACACTCTGTAAAGTAGCTGCTAAAGGAAAAATCTGTTAGAGAGTTGACAGCATCCTTCAAATCTAGACTTACTTCAGGTTTGCTAATGAGACAAACAAACATGATAAACACTATATGATCTGTAAAACTGTCTCATGAAAATGAAGGGCAGCACAATGAATATGCATAGTTGTCATCATTCTGATGTTATGGAGAAAACTGTTAATACCACAGCCCACACTGAATTAGAGGTGAGATTAAACATATGTCATTACATACTGTATATTGTGTATATCACAGAATTAGCAACGTTATCATGAGTAAAATGTCATTATAATATCATACTGCAAGATTCCCTGTGTTTTCCAGCCCAACTGGTAAGTGTGTCAGAACAAACTTATTTTTATTAACAGTGAAAATACACTCACCAACCAAAAAATACAAAAATTGCAAAATACAGAAATTGCAGCACAAATATTACAGAATAATCCAGAGGATAGACTTACACTGTATGTCCAAAAGTTTGTAGACACCTGCTTAAAAAATATTTCTGCTAAAGTCAGGGGTACTATAGGGAGTTCTATAGGGAGTTTGTCCCTCTTTGCTGCAGAAACAGCCTCTACTCTTCTGGGAAATCTTTACACTCGAAGTTGGGACATTGCTGTGAGGATTTGATTGCATTCAACCACAAGAGCATTAGTAAGGTCAGGTGCTGATGTTGAATTATCCATTCTGATCACAAATGCCACTCCTGCTCATCCCAAAGATATTAGATGGAGCTCCACTCCCATGAAAGCAGTTCCACTGCTCCACAGCCCAATGCTGTGGGATTTATGCCCCTCTAGCCGATACTTGTCATTGGGCATGGTTACCTTAGGCTCATGTGCGGCTGCTCTATTGAGAAGCTGTGTGTGTGCAGTTGAATGCATGTGTAATGAATGGGTGCACCTTAAAGTAGCTGGGATCAGTAACTGATGTGGGGGTGGATACTTCTGAACATATAGTGTGCACTTCCAAATAAAGGTATCTTTACAAAAAAGTGTTATCCCCATATTTCATTTAACCATATGGCTGCATTGTCCTCTTTTTTACTTAAAGGGCCAGTATTTAGGAAAAACGATATTTCTTTGAAATAAAAGAATATATATACATACATACATACATATATACATACATACATATATATATATATATACATATAAATATATATATATATATATATATATATATATATATATATTCCCTCTACAGATTAAACAGTCCAAGCTGCAAATACAGCCCGTTTTTAATCCATTGTTTGTGTGGTGTCATTAAAAATGAATGTAGTTGCATATATCCACCTATTCAGCCTACAGCTGTTTAGCCCTCCTCATTCACACTATAAGTAATAAGGCGTGTTTCAGTATGGTTTGCTTCTTGAATGAGGCACAATACAGACAGCCAATCAGAACTGAGATCATTTACATATATCGGTCTTAAAAACACTACAACAAAAACACCCTGTTTAATTCTAAAGGACAAAGAGGGGTTAGAAAACATTCTGTAAAAAGAATTAGGCTGTTTTTGGCAAATAAACGTACCCATATGTAATAAGTAGACCTCAGAGAAAAAAAATATAGGACATGGACCCTTTAACTGGTAAATAAGCAACCCAAGCCATCTCAGATTTGTGCTTTGTGTGGTTAAATGTTTGTGTTCTTGTATGAGATGAGATGTGTGTGCACGTGTTGTTCAGATGATCTGCTGTTCGCGAGTGTCAGAAGCACTGGTTTAGGTGTGAGTGTTCTCTAATTAACTACAGTACAGCTTCAGACAGTTAATTAAGTATTTCAGCTTGGCTGCCTCCAATTAGCAAGACACAGCTCTGCCCTCCTGTTGTTAGAGGAGAAGAAACTCAGCTCCCATGATATTTTCTCACAAGTGCTTATTTTGCACCTTCCAAAAGTGGAGTAATTGTTCTTTTGTGTATAGCTTTGTATTATTAAGTGCAGCTGAAGTTATTTGCCCGGTGAATGACAGTGTACTATTACAGCCCTGCTGTGTGCTGCTACAGTAGCTTATGATGTCCTGCACTTTCTTCATTTATAGGTTTTAGTTGGTGTTTGTTGGTGCAGCTGATATATAATGCTTGTAGCATGTGCTTCTGTAGATGTTCTCCTTCAGCACCTAGAATTGTTTTGATATTTAAATTGTAATTTTTTTTTTTAATATTAAATTTGTTAGTTTTTAAACTACCGTAAAAGTCAAAATGTAAATATTTGTACTAACAATAGCACTTATAATGCTGTTCATAATATCCAGATGACTTTGATGGGGCTTGAAATCACCCACTCTCAGTGAGCTGATTAGGAAAGTAACAGTGCCCTCTAGTGGTGAATATTTTATTATTAAATGAAACTATTTTTTATTTTGAACAGTGAAAGCATTCTAACATTTTGCGCTTTAAGGGTGTGTGTGAAGTTGGGCTACAGTCTAGACCCCTGAGTCTGAGACAAGTCCAAGAACATGACTAGAAGACCAAGTCAAGTCAAAACCAAGACCCAAAAATATTGAGACCAAGCCTCAGCAAGTCTTGAACTGCTTCCAGTACGATTAAATAAACACAGATGCATTTATTTGGTTTTGAGTTAAGCATGAGTTAGTTCACACTGGTGATGATAAAAGAACAACATTTTAAAATGTTCTTTTGACAGTAGTTGGATCCGGTTGATACCATAGGCTAAATTTAGTGAGACTGATGGCTAAAAGCCAGACAAGTCTAAGTCCAGACTTGAGTCCAAGGCTGGACTTGAACATTCTAAGAACATTCTAAGCTGGAAAGGCATCACAGAACTTCACTGTTGGTTGCTCAGTTGCCTTTCCCCCCCCACACTCTTATATAACAGCGTTCTTCACTCCATCTCATAAAAGAACCACTTTTGCTTGCCTGAAAAACGTGTTTGAAAAAGAGATTTGTGGGATGCGAAGAACCTTTAAAGGTTTATACATGATGTAAAGGTTCTATATCAATTTAAAGGTTCTTTCTAGAACATTTACATTATGTGAATGTCCTTTAAACTCTTAGGTTCTTCAAATTCATGCATCTCATTTATGAAAATAGTTCTCTAAAGAATCATCCACTGAAAGGTTGATTTGCAAACCAAAATGGGATTTCAGTGGCGTTATGCAAGGAACCCTTTTTGGCACTACATATCTTCACTGTCAGAACGCCAGCAAAATGGTAACTTTACAGGAGAAGAAAAAACATTTTTAACTTTTAATGTGGGTCAATGTCACCAGAAGCCATTTTAGACTGTTTCAATTGAACTGTTCAACATGAAATTTTCACAAGATCAGAAGAAATACAAAAATGGAGAGGCTTTGTTCCGACACCTTTTGACACCCCGGATAACAGAGATCGTCATACAGTTGTATGCAAAATTTAGGCACCCTGGTCAAATTACATGTTCTGTTGATTTTCTAAGTAAAAATAAGTTAACTCATTCTCCATAGAGAACAAATGGCATATGGCATTTTTTTGGCTGAGTTTAAAATATTTGGGGAAAAAAGTAAAATGTAAACTATGCCAGAACCCTTTTGCACAGACCATATTTAGTGTTTCATTGTTATTTTTATTCTAATGTTAAATTCAGCAAATGATCAGTTAGTGTTGACAGAAGTGTATTCTCCATAGAGGATGTGTTAACATATTCTCACAAGAAAATACTTGCTATTTGACCAGGGGTGCCCAATCTTTTGCATACGACTGAACCTTAAAGCAATAGCTCAGCAAAAACTCAGTTAAACTATTCCCCCTTATTTCAAATGTATTTGTACATATGTATGTATGTTTGATATCTAAAGTTTTGCTCTGGAGCTATGAAGCTAATGTAGCTATCAAGTAAAGGGAGCTTGTATGTAGTAGTCAGCATTGTGCAAACTGCGTGTCACATGCTTGCCTCTAACTGCATAGAGGAAGCTTATAATCACCAGTTAGCATGAAGCTAACTGCAATCCTACATCATCATACACACTTGCTTCAAACCATGTTGAGTTATCTTAAACAAGTAATCTCAAACAGACTTTCTTATGTGGTTTCTGACACTGATATCTATAAAAAATGAACAAATGTACAGACAAAATACAGGCTTTAAGATTTAGCACAGGCTTTTAGCACTTTACCATTGTCCATCAGAAACCACATAAGCAAGTCTATTTGAGACTACTTGGTGGTTTGAGGCAAGTGTGCTTGATGATTTAGGAATGCTGTTAGCATCATGCTAATTGGTGATTATAAGCTTTCTTTTCTTGATAGCCCCATTAGCCTAAACTGAGAAAGCAAACGTTGAACAGCAAGCATGTCTTAGAGTGATTATATTTGGGATAAGGAGAAAATTGTGTACATTTTTAATGAACTATTACTGTAATTAACATCAGTACCAAACACCCACACCTTGGTTTAGAATGTAAGTATTATTTCTCCAGCTGTGTATTCGTTTGTTGCTGGAATCTCTCCGGGACACTGTAGTTGCAGTGACCTGTCAGCTAGCTTTTCCCTGAGCAGCACGGTTTAATTTCACATGTGTCTCAGCAGAGGTCGTCAGGGCCAGAGCCTCCATGAATATTCAGCAGCCGTCCACCTCCAGCCCTCCACACACCCCCTCCCAAACGGCACCGTGACACGCTGGAGAAATTGATTTCACAGTTGCGGGACAAAACCCCAGCGCATCTTAAACGCGTGGTGATTAAAATACGTCCGGCTCAATCGAGCACCCTGCTCTGCGGCCCCAGCAGCCAGGCTCCAATTTACGCCTCCTAATTGTGTTGGCGCACTCCCGGGGACCTGGGGGCTCAGTGGGGGTTCAGCGGGGCTCAGGCACCGACTGATTGAATCTTTTGTGGGGAAGGCGAGCTGGACCTGACCCCGTAGATCTCCCTAGAGGCCTCAGCACTGTCACACTCGTCCCTGTGGAAGCATCAGGATCTGTGGATCCAGAGGCATATTGATCAGAGCCAGCAGAGTTAGCTGGAGGACTTGGTTTTCCATTGATTTTGGTGTCCATTAAAAGTACTGTGTGCATTCACTCTAATGACCTCTGTGTTAATTAAATAAATGTTAACTTTTTTTAAGTGCACTCTGAAGATTTTTTTTCCCCAAACACTTTATTGGAATCATTATTTAGTTAAAGAATAGCTGAAATGTACAGAATAGCTTAAAAAACACTATAATGATCTATCAGTTGTAGAGTTTATGGCTTTAAGTGTAACATTGATCTGTCTGGCAACAACTTAATTACTCTTACTTCACTAATTAAACTATTTCTTTCCTAGACTCTTTATTAAGTTTAGTAATGCAATCATTTATTGAGATTGTCTCAAATTATCTGGTAAGAAAGTCAGGAGAGGGCTTCTCTTGCATTCAGACAGTCCTCTGAATACAAGGCCAAATTTACCACTATGAACCTACATTCTAACAGCAGGCAAAGTTGTATATGCAAGTGGTAAACTTGGCGAGTACCATGTTACCAGAGTTTGAGTTGGGACATATCAGTTCAGTTCAGTTCATTTCAGCAGGTCAACACTGCAACATTGCACACTCAAACACAACAAGAGCAGTAACATAACGAGCAAAGAAGACCGGCAATAAAGCAACAATAAAAAGAGATCAGCAGCTCACACAATGATGGCATGCAGTAGTGGTAAATGTATCCATTACATTTAATTTTCTGCATTGTACTGTTAAGCCTACCTGTAGCGAATAGGCCATATCACAATAAGCGTATAACAATAGATATGCAGTGAGCAACATCATTTCTCCACCCCAGTATGTGTATATATACACACCACACTTTCATTAACTTTCATTATCTTATTCCAGGCAAAATGGCTACTAAATACTAGTTATTCATTTTTTACTTCAGGAAAAAAAATAAAGCGGGAATTATATACATTTCTTTCAACATTTAGTGTGTGCCTTTTTTACAGCTTCCATTTTTTCAGGAGACTTGCTTTAAATTTCAAGAAATCTGCAGGGACATTTTTCCACATCTCAAAAATTCAGTCTTAGAAGTTGTTTGCAATTTCTGCTTCTCACTGTTCAAGTAACACCAAACATATTCAGTGATGTTGAGGTCAGTCTATTGTTCTGAGCCAGCAGCTTCGTTGTTTGAATTGCAAATATTCTCTGTATTTTGTCTGTTTCCTTTTCTCAGTAGCGGCTTCTTGACAGCTACACATCCTTTCAGACCCATAGTGTTGAGTTGTCTTGTATCTCACAGTGAAAGGATGGACAGAAACACCTGTGGATTTTTTCAGATCTGAATCAATAGTGGAGCTTGATTTTCTCCTCTCTCTCAAAGATAAAAGCTTTTAGTGCTGTGGGGACAGTTTTGGTGGTCTACCAGGTCTTGCATGCTTGCATGGTTGTTAGGAGTCCCATTTTCTCTGTGGCTTTTAATCAGTTTTTGCACTCCAGTTTTGGAAACTGTGTTCTCTTATTTTTTCCTCTTTCCTTATGCAAGTGGATTATATTATATCTGTGGATTATATTATACCATTATACATATACTAACAAGTAACATTGCACAACAACATTCACAAATTCTAACTTAAGCATCTATAGTCACTTTGCATAATATAGCAGGTCACTGCATCACTTTCACTGCAAGCTGTTGGTCTATTGATCTGCTGTGTTTCAGCTGCTGTTGCAGTTTCCTGCAGGTGGCTTTTAAAATGCCCCCATCTCACCTCTCTCTTCCCCCTCATCAATCAAGTGACAATCCATGTAAAATTAGAGGTGGCCCTACTGCCTTTACGCAGACCCCGCTAGGGTGTTAATGAAGATGATCCAGCCTTCTGGGCAGATGTTTTTTCATGGGCCTTAATTGGTCTTTCTCACTAACCTATGGAGATACAATGGAATTACCCATAAAGTTATGATAACTGTTAATTAAACAGTATTTTTAAACTGTAGTTAGGTAATGGGTCAGGTTTGGTCAGTTGAGCATTTTAATGGCATTGTGTAATTGCAATATTTTTGGTATAACAATAAATATCTCTCTTTGTTCTGTTTTACAGGTGATTACCCAGCACCCCGTGCGGTTCTGACAGGCCATGACTATGAGGTAGTGTGTGTGTCGGTGTGTGCTGAGCTTGGTCTGGTCATCAGTGGAGCTAAAGGTCAGTAAGAGGATGAAAGAGACACAGAATACAGTTCTTCTTTGATTCAGTCACCTGAAGAATGATTCCACTGTTTTTTTTTTTTCTCAAAATTTGCATAATTCAGTGGTTGAGATGTAAACAAAGTCACTCAGAGCAAAAAACGAAATAAAGTTTTCTTAATAGTGGTGGTGACAGGAACCAGGGGTTGTGATGTCTACAATGCAAGTATAGACACTTTATTTTCTATCCAAAATGACCAGTGAATCTACATCTGAGTTTGTATATGCAATGTTGATAATAGTATAGTCAAAACAAAAGTTTTCTTTAAGGTCTATTTTGCCTTACAGCACCCTTAAAGTATTTAAATACACATTTTAGGCCAAAATCGTGTCACAGAAACATCTTTCAGACCCCAGGCAATTGATTTGTAATCGTTTTGTGTAATACCTTTCTGTGATTGAGCTTTCAGAGGCATTAAATTCAGACGTCTGGTTCCTATCACCACCACTGTGAACAGTTCTGACTCTGTACGTTTCTCTAGAACGTGCATACTGCTCTGAATGACTTTGGTTTGCAGATACTTTGAGAAAAATCTTTGGAATTCTCTTGTAATGTCTCAACATTCGGTTTAATTTATGTAATTTGTATATCATATATGGAGACACTGTTCTATGGTTGTGATTCTACAGGCTTTAGAATTTTCCCCTCAAAGTGATTGTTAGTTGAGGGAGGTTGAAAAGGTTCTGCATTGGCTGAATTTTCACCAGTCACCTCTTCCTCAACCCAAGCTGTTTGCCTGTAGGAGTGGCTGGGGGTGGAGCTACTGTGGGAGATTCCTTTGGACAAAGTAGACTGATTGGGCTCACCTGAAAGTGATGACCTAGGTTTTATAAACCAGAATGCTTTGCTGCTCTTTTGGTATTGTGCTCCACAGAGTTATGTTCTGTGGTGTGCTTGCCCAGAAAACTAAAAGGTGTTCATTTTATTTTGCTTAAAATGAAAAAATTAAAGGTTTTTTTTTTGTTTGTTTCGTTTTTTTTTGTTTATTAAGAAGTGTGTGTGTGCGTGTGTGTGTGTGTGTGTGTGGAAAGAAGTGGTCATGTGAGAAAGAGAGATGAAGGCAAAAGTCTTTGTGGGGGAAAAAAAACACAAGCATTCCCAAACACTAGAATTTAAAGGGCAATTGAATAGAGAGTTTGATTGCAAAACAAATATGAACTTCTTCCCTTTTTTTTTATTTGAATTAGTGACACAGCCCTCCCCCACTGTCTAATGGGCCCTGTGTATGCTAGCCAAACATCTCATATCCAGTACGTTAATGAAGTTCATGTGATTAAGAAAAGTTTTGTCATCCTATGAAGCAAACTCTGCACCCTCAGGTCTGCATCTGTCCTCACAGCAGGGCTTCATGGAAAAAGCTTAATGTCAGAATGGGACTGAGCTGATTAAGTCAGATGCATTTTGGTGACGATTAAAAAGGGTGTGCTTGCTGATGACCTTTGCCTACACCAGCAGCACAACATGGCCTAGTCCACTCGCATTATACTGAAACTTTCACAAGTGCACCTTAAACTATGCTGTCGTACTTTGAGCAGATTTGATATACAGTGGAGTCCAAAAGTCTAAGATGGCATTGAAAATCTTTTTGTTTTTTTGTTTAAACTTGGAGATAAACAATAGAACATTTTTAGATTTTTTTTGAAAAATGTAGAACGAAAGTTTTAATAAAAGTAGAAATCTTTAAAGTTCCGCACTATTTTTAGGTTGCTGCTCAAATTTAAGCAAATTTGTGACACTGACCATGTTGAGGCCTTTGCACAAAAAGTTTAGATTTTTTTTTTCTCTTCTATTAAAGCTCATGTTCAGATGACTCCCAGGTGGATTTGTTTTACTTACACAAACTTGTAAGTAAAAGCAAGCAAAAGAAAAACATGTCAAACACTAACAAAATTCAAGAAATGTTCAAATTTCAAAGATTCTACTTTTCATTCAAATTGTTATGCTGATGATAGAATTTCTAATAAATCTCATTTTATAATTAGAAAAAAATACAAAGTAGAATCATTTTCACTAGTGGTCTCAATTTTGGACCCCACTGTTTTTTTATTGAAAAATGCATGGAGATGTGATAAGCTATGGATCTTTAGTCTGCATAAAAAACGTTTTAGTTGGTAGGTGACATTAGGCTGGAGGAGAGATAAATAGTCTAGTCTTAATTGGATGTAGTTTGGGTTGTATGACTAAAGGTTTTTGTTCTGGATAGAGTGCAGGTATGTCAATTTTTTTTTCCAGTAAACTTAATTGAGAACATAAAAGAGCAAAATGCTAATTTTCTGAACGTAATTGTGATCTTTCCGTACAATAGTAGCCAGTAGCCTGCTTTCTTTCCTATGTAATCAGAATCACTACCAAGTATGTTTCAGAAACAAGAACTTTGGGTGTAAATATTACTTATTGTATGTAATTGAATCCAGTATGTGATGTAGTAAATGTGTGTTTCTGAACCTCTGATCCCAAACATTTGAGACTGTCTCGCTGGTTTCTACCATCACTACTTACAATATAATACAGAATGATGGGAAAATTTGTATACTTGTATACACAGATGCATTATGGCACAGAGTCGAGTGAGCCACAGTGTGGTATGTGATTTAGTGAATGTCACCACAGATTTTTCAGATTTGAAAAGTAGAGTTTTAAATCAGTTGAACCACAATAATCTGGCTTGAAACACCTCAGCTGTGTTAAGATAGCTAGATTTTGGGCCAAGACCATACTGTTAATCCTAGGTTAAATCCAAAGTTAGCTCTCTGTTCTCAAATCATCCGATTAAAGTTATTATGCTCAAGTTGTCTCAACTAGGTTCATTCACAGCTACATTTATTTTATACAGAACAAATTGTATATATCACCAACGTCCAAAGAAAACAAGTATCTCCAAAATGGTAACTTTGCAGGAGGCTGTAAAAACATTCTTTACTTTACAGACTTTTACAGCTGCTCATATTAAGATATATGCAAGTAGCTTGTAAACATTTGGGCACATTTCATAGTTTTATTTCATAACTTATTACTGTACAACTGTACATTGGAATAGTGCAATACTAGTGTATATTGTGTATATGTGTATATTCAGAGTCGGTGTATATATATATGTATCTCTATCTCTGTATATATAGTTCTTTCTTCCTATATATATATATATATATATATATATATGTGTGTGTGTGTGTGTGTGTGTGTGTATATATATATTGTGTATTTAAATTCTATAGGGGGGCTACACACCTAAGATTTTCACTCACTTTCCACCTGTGTAAATGTGATGTGACAAACGTGAATTGATTTGATTTGGTTTATGTTGTGTGTGTTTGGGGTTTTCCCAATGCACTTATGTATTTTGCCAGTAGGTGTCACAACTGTGCATTTTCTAAAACTTCAGAGCCCCTCTGAATTTTGCTTGTCTGCTGGGCTGACAGAAGTTCTTCAGATCATGCTGCACTTCATGTCCAGAATTGTATACATATCCCTCAGGTCTACTTTAGGCTCTAGATATTGGACTTTTAAAGGCGTAATCCAGTGAAAAAATCTAATTTACAGAATGTCTCCTATGTGCCAATGTAGTTAAAAAGCCAACACCTTTTGAGGTTCTGCAGCTTTCGTCTTTTATGGTTGCACAGTAAGGCTAATGGTGCTAAATAATAGAAACCAGTTGGCATCATGCAAACAGTATGCCTAAGTCACTGCACACTTGCCTCAAGCTGTGTTAAGTCTCAAATAGACTTGCTTATGTAGTTGGATGCTGTATAATGTGGTGTTCTGGACTTTTAAAATCAGTTATGTTCAGTTGTTCTGGCCTGTATTTTTGCAGAGGGTCCTTGTCTGGTCCACACAATCACTGGAGACCTGCTTCGTGCTCTGGAGGGGCCGGACAACTGCACTCTTCCTCGCCTCATCTCTGTGTCCAGCGAGGGCCACTGCATCATCTGCTACGAGAGGGGCCAATTCTGCAACTTCAGCATCAACGGCAAACTGCTCGCTCAGATGGAGATAAACGACTCCACACGTGTAAGAATCCACAAATCCATTAAACAGACATTAATCAGTCCGTAACAGTGGCAAAATATGCACACGAGTATTGCTTTCCCATATCGTCACTGTGGTAGGATAAATTCCTACCTCAGAAATGGTAACGTTATAGGAGATGCAAAAAAGGGCAGCTGCTGTTGTTAAGCAGTGTAAAAACACAATCTGTGTTTGTTGGCTGTTCCTCTCCAGGCTATCCTCCTGAGCAGTGATGGTCAGACGCTGGTGACTGGAGGGGATAATGGAGTGGTAGAGGTGTGGCAGGCCTGTGATTTCAAACAGCTGTATATCTACCCTGGCTGTGACGCCGGCATTCGGGCCATGGACCTGTCACATGATCAAAGGTTCAGAAACAGGTTTTTGCCATTTTATCAACAGTCTTATGTATATAGTAACAAAATGCACACTTAAGCTTTTGTTCATACAGCAGGACAATCAAATTTTTCTTGAATCCAATTTTTAGGCTACGTTCACATTGCAAGCCCCAGTGCTTTGGATTTTTTTTTTGTTCAGATCCACCCTTTCTTCTGTCATGGTTAACAGTTGTTTAAGTGACCTAACAGCACTAGTCTTTGGCACAAAAATCATTAGCCCAGATCATTATCCGACTGGCTGTTCTGGTTTGTGATTTAGGGGAGAAGGTTAAAAAGTCAGCTACAGTAATGCTTCTGCAGTGTTTACTGAAAATCCTTAGGTTAGCTGCTGTTGCTAAGCTGCCAGCACTACACAAACACCATTCCAATTTGGACTGCATGGCCACAAATTGGATATTTATCCAACCTAGGATAAAGTGACTTGAAAAACATTTTTGTCCATACAGCTTTCAACCTGCTAATATGAACTGATCCTTAGTGTCCATGCAGTGACCAAATCCGATTTATAGGGCTCGAGCCAAAAACAACTGATTGCTCAATTCCAATTAGGGATTCAAGTCGACTCCAAATCTTTGGCCTCTATGTTCCACACAGTGACTTTCAGGTTTGCAGATATTTTGTTGTGATTTGTTTAAACATCCTTCCACAACTTGCATTAATAAACCAGTTAGTCACCTGATTTAGCTAGAGTTAGCTTTCTGAATTGGCTTGTTAAGGTCAAGTATAATTAATATTAATAATACTCATTTTGACACATGACGTGTCTCTGGGGTGGATTTCATATCGTTTTAATCGTTCATCCTTTCCTCTCCATGCAGCTTAGCTCCTTCTTCTGAGGAAATGATGAAAAGATGCAGGGATAAGTTGTGAGGAATGAAGGAACCCATACATTTTTCCAAAGTGACCTCCTTAACTCAGTCATCACTTTCAGATCTGCCAGTAACACCTTTGCTTTTATAAACTGACTGTTCACCTGGGAACGCTTTATTAAAGTTCAACCACATCAACAATTTCACATCATCCTTTGGCAGTACTATCACATTAACTGTAATCATTCAATGCCTTCATGAGGTGGACACACATCACATCTGGCGAAAGATGTCCATGTAGGATGCACATTTCCTTGCTCTGCAAGGTTCCTCAATTCCTCTGAAAGCATGTAAATAATTGATAAATCCTTAAAGATGGTAGAGCATGGTTGGTTTCTGCGATCTGGGCTGGTGTAGGCAAGATGAAAGAATCGAGAAGGCAGCAAATAGAGATATGAGATCCACCCCTGTGGCTTGGGTTTTTGAACCAATATTATGTGAAATCGACACTCTTGATTCCCGTTGCTTGGAATCAGAATCAAAGTCTACTCCAAAATTTCTCAAATTTAGGTTGTATGGTCAGACTGTAGTTGCATGTGCTCACACATCCACTCTTGTTTTCATAGTAATGGAGGGGGCAAGGGGGCATCTGATCTGACTGGTTAAACTGAGTCACGTGTCCAGAGATCTGACTTGAATCAGATTTAAGATCACATGCAAATGAGACTTGACTGATCAATTTTGTGGCTTTTTGTCTGAAGAAACTCTTTCTTGCTCCAATCAGATATGGAAAATCTGTCTGAACAAAGCCTTTCTTGCACTGCCCTTTCTGTGTTCCAGGACTTTGATCACTGGTATGGCGTCTGGTAGCATTGTAGCATTCAACATTGACTTCAACCGCTGGCATTTCGAGCATCAGAACAGGTACTGAGTGCCCTCTGTAGACAACAGGATGTCCTCGCGATGGACCCTCCAATACAGGAGCCAACAGAACTACCAGCAGCACCTCCAAGCTGAACATATCGAAGAAGGGGGGAAAAGACAAATGGAGGGACCTTCATTTTCCAGCATTTCCTTGAAAAACAGAACATCTTTATGTACGAACCCTTTGTGCTCTGGCATGTCCCAGTCTTCTACAGTACTGTATTAAGACACTATATGCTGATACAGCTAATAATGCTGTATTATTGTGCTAAGACAATGTCAGCCTAGTCCTGAAAAGGTACATAAACATAGAACCAAGACCCAGAAACCCTTTTACACAAGCAGTTTTATTTGAGTTTTGTCCAAGCCGACAATAAGCTGATGCATACCCATCATTTTTGATTGTTGACGCATAATTTAAACTGTGAAAATATTCTGCACAGAGGAAAAAAGCTAAGTGTTTCTAGTGTACATTTGTACATGCTAGCAGCATATCACCTTCTTGAGAATTATTTTCAGGGTAATAATGGTTGATGTAAATACTGATAACGTTAAAATATATTACTTGAAAAAGGTAAGCTTACTGAATAAAGTCTCTAAAATATGTTTGTTAAACTCATAAAACTGTCTGTGAGGGCAAGGAAACTGTCTGTCTACTAGTGTTTCATGATTTTATCAAATCGTTTTTAATGTGTTGTGAAAAAAATAAGCCCCAGTGTTTCCTGTAAAATGTACTGTAAGCCATTTCTCTCTTTAATTCATAGTGACTTCATTGTAAACTTGTTTTATTCGAAAGCAATGTTCTGAAATGTGAGTTTTATCTGCATCTTTTACCAGCTTTTGCTTTTTTTCCCTCCATTTTTAATCAATACTGTCCATGCAGGTATTAAGGAATGTAATAACGAGCCCTTATCTAACATGATCTGTAAGATATGAATATAATCATTGCCCACTTTGCACCCTCACAATGCATTTCAACCCTGCTTTTACAAATGTTCTCTTTAGTCTGGAGTAGGGATGCAAATTCTCTTGACCGATAACCGACCGTCATTGGTCACTAATTAATGGTTGACTGGCAAGCTTAAAATCAAGGATGCGACTCATCTTTATATGCATAGTTCCTCTTCTGAAATCTGGTTGATTTGGCATTTAAATCCATTGTTAAATACTTCTGAGCACACACATCAACTGAATTCTGTATTAATGCAGTGAGATCAGTGTTTCTTTACGGATCGTGGAACGTACTGATAGAAAGGGTCAGGCATCAGCTTGTATATGAAGTAACAGTCCAAAAAGTATTAAAAGGGCAATTCATCAAAGTTTCTTTGTAGATTTCTTTTTTTTTTTAACAGAGATTGTGATGTCTACAACTCCAATAAAGCCATTTTATTTACTATTCAAAACCACCACTGAACCTACATGTGTCTTCTGAGTTTTGTATATGTAATGTTGATGGTAAAAAAGTGGTAAATCTGAAATGATACATTTTTCTTTGGGGACTATTTTGCATGAAGTAATTAAAAAAAAACAAAAAACAAAAAAAAACACTTTATGCCAAAAGTCTCAATGGCAACACATTGATAACCATTCTGTGCAATAACTTTCTGTGAGGTAGTTTATTTATTTAAATGCATTGGATGTCTTAGTTAAACATACATTACAGACATTTAAATCTAGGATTTGTTTAAAATGAGAGGCTGACAACTAATGTTCATAATTTTGTGATCAAAACTAAAGTTAATGAAATTAATGGTTTATGTAATGATGGGATACATAAAGTTCTCTATTCTAATGTTTGAAAATATGTACTGCTCTTTACTCTTTAAGTTTTTTTTTTTTGTTAAAACTGATAGCAGCGTTACTGAATCAGGAGGAAAAAATCACGCTTAAATATGTCTCTGCTCAGCTGTGAGTCACCCTGTAAAACCTGAAATAATTGAAGTCAGAGGTGTTGGTTTGGATTTTGATGGAGTATTTCAGAGCATGTCCTACGTCACGTCATTCAAACCACATAGTTACATATGAATGTCAAACATATAGGCTAAAAAAGAAGGTCAGACTCAATGTTTAGACCTTAAATGCAAAATCAACATTATGCTGATAAAGATATGATGACAATAGTGGATCATTTACTTACATCCCCAGAAAACATGATCTTTATGCAAGTTTAGACTGAGTTCTCTTTAAACACTCTTTAAACGTGCTGGCAAACATCAGGTTCATCCGCTCGGGAAGGGGTCTGAAGTGCAACCCACACTACAAAATGTTTGTCCACACGTTGTGTGCAATTACTCATTTCCACCAGAGGCACATTTACAAATCCCCAAAATTTACATAGTGCAGCTTTAAAATGATTATAAATGCCCTGACCAGGTCTAGCTTTGGCTCAGTGTACCGCGGTAGCTCTATAAAGCTGTCGCCTTCCACCATGACTTTCTCTATAACTTGCACCCGTATGTGATTTTCTTACACCACTGTGCATCACATTTTTCTCTCTGAGAACATAGTTTGTCCTATTGCTTGTGGATGTTTGCTTTTGATAGGGTACACGTTTGGAGTTGCTGTGCTGTAAAGTGGTCTTTAACATAGCTATTTTTAGCTGCACGGTTCATTTTGTAGGCCTTTCTAATGAAGCCTATATATCACTGTTGTGTGAACAAAACCTCGTATCTCCAAAATGGTAACTTTACAGGAGAAGGAAAAAACATACTTTACTTTTAGTGTAAGTCAATGGAACCAGACTTTTTTCTAAGTCATTTTGGGCCGTTTCTTTTGGTCCAGTCATCATGAAATTTACACACAATGTTAAGGGCAACAGCCATTTTCAAATTTGTCAAAAACTGAAAAATGACAAATAGGAATACAAGGTTTTGTCCCGACAGCAGTGATTATACTGCATATATTACCATAATGCGTACAATTCAAAAATGTTCCTCAACTCGTCTATTCAAGTAGGAACTGTTAATTGGAAATGAAATCAAATTAAATAATCACTTTTTTTTTAAACTGATTGCATTGGTCAACCAATTATTTATTTGTCGGTTAACTGTTATACATTTGCATTCCTGGTCTGGAGGGTTGCTCTCATTTTTATAACAGGCTTTAGATAGAGGCACTAAGTTAGCCTTCTTTACCAGATTCTTGATTGCATTTTAGTGTAACAGCTGCTAATGTTGAATGTATTCAGGGTTTTATGTCTTTGCTTTTCAATACATTTGTATTATCAGAACATCAGTTATAAAAACATTTAATAGGGTGACATTTAAAGTGAATGCGAATATGAAGCTCGATGAGCTTTTAATACACTTTTACACCAAATCAGTGAGTATTTAATGTGATCTAAACAGAATCTGCCAGAATCTTAATCCTTTTCAAATAGCACCCATAATGTAAATGAGCATAAACCTCTGATTATTGTTGATAAGCAATATGGTACGTCTATCAAAAGAATTAAAGCATAATATTTACAGGGCCTAAAAGAGACCCTAAACTACTTTTGGGTCTAGAGGTCGCCATGTTTTCTAGCAAATATGAACTCCATCACATGTGAGGCAATGTTAAGGTTTAAAAATATCTTGCCTTTTTTTCAGTCTGTTATGCAGTAGTTGTATGTTCAGTGGGGATGGTTGTGCATTTAACACATTTTGCAAGCCTAATTTGGATATGATGTGAAGATCTTTAATCACTGATACTTTCTTGAAGTTTGGCAAAACTGAAGCTGACACAGTGATGATTGGCGAGGGCTTAACTTTTTTTAACCCCTAACATTTATTTGTTAAATGGTTATGTAGTCAGATTTTTATTTCCATTTATTTTTTATTTTCAAATCACTTCCTTTTGTTTATCTCGTCTAACGGATCCACTATGTGACATTTTTGCAGATTTCAGTTTTCAGGGTTTTTTCTTTCTTGTTAAATCCCTTCTCTTATGAAATCAATATTGATCATTGTGAGATTAATTTGTTTATAATAAAATGTGATGAAATATGATGCTGGTGGTAGTGTGGAAATTATTAAAGCATTAGATTTAACTGACTGGTGCTTTTTAATATAATATAAGGTCACATTAGTGTCATGACAACAGAATTCGCTGTTGTCGGAACAAAACCTTGTATCTCCAAAATGGTACCTTTTACAGGAGAAGGAAAAAAAAAACACATACTTTACATTTAATACAAGTCAAAGGAACCAGACGGTGTTCCAAGTAATTTTGGGCTGTTTCTTTTGGTCCATTTATCATGTTTGTACATCATGTGTATAATTTACATGATGTGAAGGGTAACAGGCACTTTCAGAATATGGCAAAAACTCAATCAACATAAATGGAGATACAAGGTTTTGTTTTGACAACAGCAAATTATTTGTAATACTCTTTACACATTAGACCATCTATTTGCCAGTTTTAAGCAAATTCAGGGTAAAAACCAATTTATTTATTTATTTTTGGTCATCTTATAGCAAACTTTATATCCCCAGTCTCATCAGTTTGACAGAATTCAGTGTTATATTTTCATATTTATGTTCATCAATTTTCTCTCACTACAATACCCAGCATGCATTATGCAAATACATCAAATACAGTCAATGGAAATCCCTGTGGTGTCAACCAATCCTGTCTGCTAGCCTAGCAACTGTTCTACAGGCTAATAAATACAACCAAACTAGCATTAGTGTCATTAGTATAAGATCATAAGAACAGTGATTCTGAGTTTTTACCGTTTCAGTCAGAAAAAAATAAGCCAAACTAAGGTATCTAAATAGACTGCTACATTTTACGTTATTATTTCTGCAGAAAAAAAACCTAAACAAAATCAAAAATCTACCCAAAGTAGTGCTAGTTTTTCAAATGTTCCTCCCACCTTCAAGATGCATCATCAGAAAGGGGATTTCCATCTTTAAACTGTAAAATTTCACTTTAGTGACTACTGTGGCGCTGCTGCAGGGCGAGTAGGCATGTTTACAACAGACATACTGATGGTTTTTTATTTTGTCCACAATACCTCTATAATATTCCCTCACCCTTATATTATGACTCAACACTGACAACAATATTGCTAGCTTAAAAAAAGAGAGACGTTTTCTTTGAGGAAACAGTTTATTCCAGGGTTTGGCCTGTTGCAGATGCACCACTGTTGGATGAATGCTACTTGGACGCAAAGCCACTCCCTGCTGGCGGTCAGAAGAAAAGCTGTGTGTCACTACATATTCAAACAAAAAGACAACAAAGAGCCAGTCATACGGCTATAGAAACATACAATCGGTAACCAGCTTAACCATCTGCTCACTGGACTTTGCATATGATCTAGAATACTTTCTCAAATAACAATAGTATACGGTCAGTGTCCTATCTATAAAAAAGGAGGTTGACCAGAGCATATTGTTCACATAGGACTTTGTTACAGAAGTATAGACAATCACACAGCAGATAAATGTGTTTTACTCTCTATTTTTAAAAGAAAAAGCATTTTGCATGCTGCTGCGTACAGAAGTTCTCCACTCTCCATCTTTTGTGCTCATCAGTGGACTCCTCATTGTGCTAACGTCATGTCTCGGAAGCCTTTCCATGCTAGAGGCTCCTTTTAAGACAAATATAGTGGTGGTTACAGTGAAGCAACAGATGCAAGTAAATCTTTATATTGTCTGTTAACTTACTGAAGTGTTGTCTATGGACAGAATTTACAGATGAAAATGAATTATGAGGACAAAAGCAGTGGATTTGGATCAGCTACTGTACTACGTCTGCTTAGACTGAGAACAGATTTACGCTATTCCGGATTTAGGTGACTTTAGATCATCCTGGGTTGAGCTGAATAATCCAGACCTCAAAAAATAAATGGAATAAAATATACACTTCAAAGTAAGACTGAAATGAAGCAATCACAAAACATTTACAAATGATTCCATGGAAGATCTGTCAAAGTTAACACAATTTAAAGTAAACACAACAGACTTTCAATATAAATAAAATAAAAAAGGGTGCTAAGTGAGGTTCTTTGGAGTGATGCCACAGAAGAAATCCGTTGGGTTAAAGGGCCCATATCCTACATATTTCTTGTGTCTTAATTCCTCTCCCCCTGAGGCTGTTACTGTGCCTTTAAGACTGATATATGTAAATGACCTCTGTACATCTTGATGTATGTATATCAACTAGATGTAAATTGGCTGCCCATTCAAAAGGCAGTCTAGGATGAAACACTCCTTATAACTTCAGCATGAATAGGTGCAGCACTGCAGCAGGCTAAATAACATTTGTAAATGTGCTTGGTTTTTGTGACATCACAAACCAGGTTGTTTTGCAGCCTAGTTTTTACATGTTATTGGTGTCCAATCTTCAGGTCAAGTTAAGTCAGGAGGCTTTTATTGTCTTAACCTCTTAGGGCCAGTATGGCTGCAGGTTTTCACTCCAAACAAGCTGCAGCACACCTGAAACCATTTGTTTAATGAGTTGGTCTTAGTTCTCAAAGTTTCTTTAGGTGACCTCTTGCTTTGTTGGAGTGAAAACCTGCGGCCACACTGGCTCTTTGTGGATAAGTTTGGACACCCTTGCCATATATGGACTAGGGAGTGGACAGTAAGTTTTGAAACTTAAAAGTATGTCAAACTATCATTCATAAATAAATAAAATAAATAAATAAATATAGCAAGGACAATTCTCTTGATATGGGCCCTCAAAACTCAAACTCAAGAACTCCTCTGAGCACCTTTTATTTTTAAGACTAGGTAGGAAATACAGTGCAAGTAGATGTTTCTATGGTTTTTGAAGTTGTTCACATTCAGAATAGCTTATGTTAACACATTCAACAGCCAAATGATTCGTTTGTCCCGTTTTTCATTTACCATTCCAAAAAAGCATTCAAAGGAACCAGTTCTGAGTTACTTAGACCCTTTTTTGTGATCATTTTTGTGCTTCTCTTTACCTCAGATCTTTTTGGCCCACTGTTTTTATGAAAGAATGTCACATTTGACAAAGTACATTCAGGTGAAGGACAACATCTTCAGAATTTCACTGTTTAGAAGGTCAGAGCTGAGCAGTCTTACATTCAGCTTACAGGAACTAAGATCTCTGCCGTCAGTCTATATGATACAATCACAGTCAAGCGAAGACATGCACTCAAGTGCCACTTTCCACTTCAGACGAGCTAATAAGACCTTCTGGAGCACAAATATTCATCCTTTGATTGCACATCTTATTCCAAATCGTGAAAAGAGACACAATTAATGGTGAAAGGAGCCAATCAGCAGCTGCTCCTCACTCATATTTGTTCATAGTGTCATAAATTCTGCTGTAACAGTGTACTACTACTATTGTGCCTACCAAATCAACAGAACGATTATAGCAGCAAGCTTGAAGTGATCGACAGTTTCATATACACCTCATGATCTAGTATATTTAATCAAAACAGCACCTGTCAATTAAAAAAAGTTATTAAACTGATTCCTAACCCACACCTACAGCATACTGTATGTACTATATCACATGTTGATGGAGCGTTCTAGGGCCCAGTGACGTTTAAAGAAGAATTCAGAATTATGGGTGAATATGAGTGTGTTTTTATATAAGATAAATGTTCAAATAAATATAAAAAATTAATACTCTAAATGTAGAAACGTCATCTTTTTACAAAAAGATACACACCTAATGAGGTTTCATCACTTCAGTGGAAGATTCTGATAAGGTCTACCAGATTTTGTGTGTAAGAAGGAGAATCCTACATGAGCTCACCATTAAAATGATCTAACCATTTTTGTGGAAGCGCACTTCCTATCTGAGCCACAAGAGGGCGCAAAAGAGAAATGCTGAAACGGAACTGGGTCTATCATTGGAGCACAGAGAGGCTTCAAGGTTCTCTGCTATAGCACTAAAAGTGGTATCAATCTACAATTTTCTAACCAAGAGGAATTCCTACCGTCAGTTTATAATCTAATTCACTTTGCAGCAGCTAATTTCAGCCAAAGGAAACTGCTACTCTGCTGTGCTTGAGGGCAAAAACTGTATTCAAATCTCAAACTGTCAATGTGATGAAGGTATTCAATCTGTTGAAACTGATAAGTTTTTTGTCTAATGTCTTAAGTTAGAAGTGCTTCACTGAGGGCAAAGACTGTATTAAAATTCTTAAACACAGCCAATTGTAAAATGAACAGTGATTTTTCTAACCTTAGTTAGTTCTAACCCTTAATACTAACCTTAGTATTACCTTCATAGAAACGCTTCCAGTCAATATGAATACAATCCCTCAAAGTAAGAAGCTCTGGGAATTGTGGATGTGCTCTTTTCTTTTAAATAAAATAGTCAAAACATGCACGTGTGTACAGCTCCACAGAGCACTCAGGGTCAGATGATGCCAGTCCATTTTTACTTTCATCCATCCATCCACTCCATACATCCATGTTTTCGGGGCTGCAGGGTGTTAGAATGGTGAGTTGGGCGAGCGCACAGTCTCGGCGGAGCTGGGGGAGTAGTCCTCGGACTCGGAGGTAAACTCTGCGGGGGACAGGCTGGGGGCGGCCGCACCGACTGAAAGCTTGGACAGGAAAGCGCCCTGCGGAGCGCGGACGGCAGCGGCTGACCTCACATCCTGGTGGCGTCTTCGTCTGAAAACCTGCCTCTCCTTATCAAGAGCGGTGGTCTGAATAAAGAAAGACACAGAACAAAAGCTTTTAGTAAAACAGAGCAAAACCTCATACTGCGCTGTTAGAAATTAAGGTGCTGTGTAGGTGCGTTCTTCACTCATTAAGGTACAAACAATGTAAATGTACTCTGAAAGGTTTTAAGGTCCAATAGTGCACCTTAAAGTTTTCCCAGGTGAAAAGTACATATTTGTACCTTTTCGTAACCAAATTTTTTAAAACAGAACAATAAAATAAAAAGCCTGGAGACGAGACGGGGTGTGTGGAGTCAACACAATTTAGAAAATATAATTTCAATGGATTAAGGCACAATTACGTTCCCTGATCAGAGATGGTAAGATGTACCACCCCAGTGACAAGAGGGGTACTGGGGTACAGTGACAGTTTCATGCCTTTTTCTGAGAGTGTGCACTGTACTACACCCTTATATCATTCATATACTACAGTACTATATGAACCCTATATAATCATGCATATCATCACTGTCAGAACGAAACCTCTTAACTGTACAGGAGAAGCACAACTTGATTTAATGAGTTAATGTAAAAACATTTTCCAACTGATTTTGTAGCATTTCTGTTAGTCATACCATTTTTAAAATGGTGTAAAGGATAATTGGATTTTTCAAATTATGCAAAAAAAGGGGAAAAAAAAACAAACTTCTAGAACAGTTGGATTTTTTTTTTTCTATTTTGGATTTTTGCTATTTCAACTGTAGCGTGTTTTGTGGTCATCCAATGGTTTATTTATCCCTCTGCTATGGACGGGATGGTATCTATGACCAAAATTACCAACTTTTGGTATTATTGCAGTATTAAAACACACTGAAATAATTTCACCATATGTATTATATTGATCTACTTTTAACTGAACCTGTCTTTCCTTTTAAAGGGTAAATAAAGCAACTAGGATTTTCAGCAGTACTACTGTCTACTGTTCATTTTAGTTGCTATATTATTATATAAGTATGTAAATACGTTGTTCTGGCATCACTAACACTGCTATGCCATAAAGCTGGACTATGGTGTTGCTAATCAAACCTGGGCATATTTAAAAAAACCCCAATCTACCGCTATGCTTTTTAGCTTGACTACACGACAAGAAAAATATGAATCTCTCTGAACAAAGATCTTTCACATGTATACAGTGTCAGGTATTTTTTTATTTATTTATTTATTTATTTTTAGAGGTAATGGGATTACTTAGAGTAATCTTACTACTTATTACGCTATTTTGTGACTCCTTAAAATGCATACAAATTTAGACCTTTAGTACTTTATTTAGTAAGACAGTCACACTAAACATGATTTAAAAGACCTGCACTATCCCTGCCTTTACTCTGAACAGTGCTTGATTTAAAATTATGAACAGCTAATGCTGTTTTACAACCTAGCAAACTCGTCTCTAGAAATGGTCCAACAATAGCCATCTCAAAAGAAATCTTTAGGAATAAAATGATGAAGCGTGGTCTGTTTAGGGGAATTTGGAGCTCTCTCTTTAGCTCCATGATCTTTCTCCATCATTTCATATTGGTGTAAGACACACAGATCAGGCATAACATTATGACCACCTCCTTGTTTCTACACTCATTTCTCTGCATATTTTGTTAGCCCCCTTTTGCCCTGTTCAGAGAAACAGATGGACTACAGTCTGTAATTGTAGAACTACAAAGTGCACCTATATAGTAAGTGGAGCTGATAAAATGGACAATGAGTGTAGAAACAAGGAGGTGGTCATAATGTTATTCCTGATCGATGAATATTTGCGTGATTAGATGCTTTGACAGATTGCTTGTCGTTTGCTCATCCTGTGCAATGTGCTGCTCATATGTACAATCTAGCTCTGACATTAATAACTCAATATTTAGGTATTTTGACAAAGCATTACTCAGGCAGTGGCACCGTTCTGCCCAGCATTCACTAATTCACACATATTGCTGCATTTTGACAACCACACAGTGAAAGAAGCACATCAGACATAAGCAACGTGAGCCGTGGACTGACCTCAAGCACCAGAAAACTGTGAGGAGGAATGTGGAGGTGTGAAAGAGTGAAGCAAATTGCGTGGGCTGGTGTTCAGAATCATAGCTGCAGTACTGTGCAAAAGTCAGAGACTACCCTTCATTTGTTTAACGTACAGTCGAAATGGCCACTATGTTCAAATAAGTTTGCATTTCTTAAAATATGGGACTTCTACCAACAATGTAAGACCACCAATACTGTCACCATCAAAAAAAAATTACTTATTGCTTTCTTAAGCTTTTTTTTATCATCTTTGGAGAAAATCAAGCTCTACTCTTGCTTTAGATTTGAAAAAACCCTCAGGCAGGTGCTTCTGTCCATCCTTTCAGAAGACAGTTTGAGTCTGAAAGCACATGTAGCTGTCAAGAAGCCCTTACTGAGAAAAGAAAATTGACCAAAAAGTACAAACAAAGAAGCTGCAATGGACTGACCACCCCAGAGTCCAGGCCTCAACATAACTGAATGTGTTTGGTATTACTTGGCTTGTGAGAAGCAGAAAATTCAACCGAAGTTTAAGCCTCAACTTTGGAGGCATGGAAAAAAATATTTTCCTGGACATTCCTTTTAAAAAAAATGAAAGGGAAAAAAATGGAAGCTGTAATAAAGGCAAAGCGTTGAGACGTTAAATACTAAAAATGTTTTATTTTTTATTTTTATTTTTTCTGTAACTGGAAAATGGAGGGTGGTCTCTGGCTTTTGGAAAGTGCTGTATATGCTTGCTGATCATAAATCACCTGTATGGTGCTCCTTTAAACAAGCTGTGTGAGGAGTAAGTCACAAGTCAGGCAGTCAAACAGATTTTTCACCAAGCTCTGGCAGAAAAAAGCAATATGAACAAACCAAGCACAAGAAGATCCTTTCACAATGTAATGTGTATTGCATTACATTCCATCACTTCACATACAGACACCATCCAGTCCAGCCAGACAACGCACAAACTCACAAAACAGAGTGGTGAATCAAGCTGGTGATGAAAAGGCTTTGTTAAAGAGTGCAGCTGCAGCAGCAGCTAACCAATGCAGTGCATGAGAACAGCAGAGCGGAGATGTGGCTCAGAAAGCAGCATGTGCCCCTCTAGACCAGGTGAAGCGGAAGAGAAAGGAGAAAAGGGGGTGATGGAGACTGCCAGCACATTGCCATGGACAGGTTGGGTGCTCCAACGTAGTGGGCATACCTTATCCAATACATCCCTGGATGCGGGGAGTAGTCCAAAGACCCTGAGCGCTTGATGGTAAACCCCTCGTCCAGCTGAGCAAAGAGAAACGGGTGCAACACGGATCACTTTTAGCACTTTCACCCTGTTTTGTGTGGCTCTGACCTGTCTTACACTGCCTGATTCTACTGATTCCACATAAACATAAACAAGCACATGACTAGGGATGCACAGATACGGGAATTTTTGGCCAATATCAGATGTTTTTCATGCTCATCTGACGATACTGATGCTGGCATATAATACTATAAATAAAGAAATTGGGACTAAATCCATTCCATTACAGAGAAATATAAAATTTTATTTGTAGATGATTACAAATGCAGTGAAATGAATGAAATGTAATTTAGCACAGCAGCCCAGCATCACATAGAATACATCACAAAATACTGGTTTGGAATATTGGTCTTTTCCCTCAAATATCTACAACGTGATTCCAATATCACTGCGCATCCCTTCAGCTGACTCCTCAAAGTACTTTAGGTCTGTTTTAGTTTTTAATTGTTGCTGCCCTGGATGGAAAACAAGGAATACTTTGGCCAAAACCAAGCACTGGACATAATAAATGATAATATAGGAACAAAATATTTAAAGAAAATAAACCAATAAACCTACAAATTAATATGGATAATCAGAACTAAAAATGAACAATGTAATAAACTTAATGTTGTATGTTTTAAAGAATGGCAACATCCACAATTAAAATAGCATAATGGAATAAATACTGGTATGGATGCAGTGTAATACGCATGAGAAAAACTGCATGCGTTGCATATGCGATATGCATACACAGCATGTCTTTTATAAATGGCAAACTAGAAGATATATGGAAAAAAACTAATTAAAAAAGTGGATGACTGCGTGTGAACAAAGGCCATCAGCAGACTAGCTGCCTATTCCCTGACCACAGTGCTGACAGTCGACACTAGCGAGAGCAGAAGCGCAAATGAACAGAGCAGAGACAGCGGCCAGAGGCTTTTTAGAGGAAAACAACGCAATAGCACACAGGAGATGAAGTCTGCAAGAGCGAGAGGGAGAGGAAGCTGATGGTCAGAGCTGCAGGATGAGACAGCAGTGAATCAAAAAGAACACACAATGGAGTCAACAGCCACATTCATCTCCTCATCTCCTGCTCAAAGGAGTGTTCCCTAATAAAGATTCAGCTGCACAATGTGGACAAAGTACCTGTACGGCAATAATATAATGGAATGTATCAGCATTTTTCAGCATATGCTGCATTTGAGGTTGGTATAGTGCAGCAAACTGAGGTTTGACTTGAGCATAAAACAGCATGATTAAAGTGTAAGTCGAAAAAAGTGTAAAAAAAAAAAAAGCAGCAAATAAAGGGTTTGTATTTAAAAGCTGCTCTATGTAAGACTTTCTTGTTAAAATTGAAAGAAGTAGCATTACTGATTCTGGAGAAAAAGCATGCTAAAATATGGTGTGTTTGCACTGCTATGAGTCACCCTGTAAAGCCTGAAATAATCCTTTAAAAGTCAGAGGCGTCAGTTCACAGCTGGCCTCATATGGTATAGAGACATTACTACAGGGTAGTTCTTTCCAAACTGCCTCAGGGTATTATAGCTCCTTATCTACCTCTCCTTATCTTAGAACCTGAAAAAGATGAATGGGTATTTGGACTACATTTAGAGAGATACACTAATATTCAATGCTTGAAAGGATAATTTTATAGAATATAATTAGATGCCAATGGGCAGGTGATAAAGAACCCACTCAAAACACCATGTAAGTGTGTTTTGAATGAACAGGTTTCTGTTGTTTTCTAAACACAGGGAACTGTCTGTGGTAAGTGACTGTACATTACAGATGCAGCAGAGAGATCAGACTAAAAAAAAATGCTGTAGTATTCTTTCAATTTGCATCAGGATAAAATGTCACCATGCATTTCATCGTAGAACTGGCACCTTCCATTGATTCCCTGCATCATGAGTCTTTTACAGGGCTGTTTTATTACAATAGATAACCCGGAATGAAACACTAGTTCATATTGGTAGATCATCATGATTACACAGGGATAAAAGAAAGAGAAAACCCCTTACTGTTATAACAGACACGCCGGCCGCTGTGCTGCTGAGCTTGGGGCCTGTGTTAAAGTGCTTCTTGATCTTTCCAGCCACAGATAGCTGGTGCTCATTCTCCAACAAGCCATCATCCTAGCAGGGAAAAGAAGCAGGGTTTTGATACTTAGTAACTGTGTGGCTGGTGTACATTATAAATAACTGCAATAGGTCTGCGTGATATGGAAAAATAACTAGTATTGTGATTATACTTTCATATATTGTGATTGATACACCTCACAATATATTAAAATGCAGTGGGAAATCAATAACAAGACATGGTTAAAGACTGGATTGCGTTATTTCAACCAGAATTTAACTTTTGGTAGATTAAACATCGGTTCATTAAAACACCTACAAACACTCGGGAACTAATTGTATATACTAATGTATATATAATATCATAATGACTATTACAAAGCAAAGCCATATATTGTGGAGCCCTAAACTGCAATATATCCACCCAGATTTTTAACAGCTAAACATGAAATTGAAGAGATTTGGTGATGGAAAAAAAAAAAGCCAGACTCTTACATTGACCCACGGATGGTCCAGCACCTGCAGAGCTGTGTATCTCTGGTTGACCTCAACTTGTAGCATACAGGTTATGAGCTCCTGCAGAGTGAGGGGTAGAAATGGTCATTACATCAAGGTTCAAAGATTCATTCTGTTCAAAGCTTAATACATCTTAATCTTTTTGCACTGAAGGAAGAACTGCTGAAGAATGTTAGCCATAAGATACCGGATCTAGAGGGAACATCCATGATTTTTACAGATAAGTATGATTTTCTGTTTACTTTTTTGTTTCTTTTTTTTTTCTAAATCATGTACTCCATTCTTTTATTCGGTTTGTATACAATATACTACACATACCTTTGCTGAGTCCGAGACATTGTCCCAGTATGGAAGGGGGAAATCTAACTGTCCCATGAGAATTTGGTCAAACAGTGCCTCCTGATCCTCAGTGCTCCTGAACAGACACACAGCGTTTTTCATTAGAGACCATCTGGAGTGAGGCTTTTAATGCCTTTAGTAATGAATAATTCAGAATATCGTCACTGTCATATCAAATTCGAATATGCTAGCTTTCCTTTACCCTTGTTTGGACATTTCAAGATGAAAAGACCAACAGAAATGGTCCAAAAATCCCTTGAAATAAAACCTCCTTTTATTTTTCTACAACAGGAGTGGCAGCCCCCCCCAGTGTCCAGCACAGTTTGGTTATTTTCCTGCTCGTAGCACAGCAATTAAAAGGAATATCACCAAACCAAGCTGGAATCTGGCCATCCAGGACTGGAGTTTACCTTCCCTGCTCTCATTAAAGTTCTCCTGAAAGTTACAATTTCAGGGCATCCATACAGTATACTGGTCCAAACAGTGAGAGCTGTGGGCCCAATCAGTCACAGTCACAAACTGTTAATGATATGGAGGGATCTGACCTGAGGTCAGCCCTACAAATGTGGGGCCAGATTTTTTATTTCGCTCATAATCCTCGAAGAACATTATCTTCCCAGGCTTGGTCACAACTGGCTACTCCAGTGACTCTTTTTGAGCACCATTTTGTCATATTACGATCTTATCTGTGGGTGTTACTGTAGTAAAATTTAGGGCCACTTCAGAGTAGTGCTAACAGGATAAGACCAGAAAATATGTATGATCTATAAACAATATTCAGAAGAAAACCCTTCCACTCATTTTAAACTGAAATGTAATTTAGCTGTAATGTATTTAAACTAAAAGGTAAAGCCATCAACTCATTGTGGATGATAATTAAATAAACACAATAAGGTTGACTTGGCTTAATAGCCAACATAATACATTGTTATAATAAAAAATAAACAACAATATAAAATAAAGAAAACTCGTCCATCACTTCTTCTTTATTTTACTTTTATATTATTTTTTATGCATTGAAATGCAGCAACATAAACACAGGCATTAGAGTTATGACCACATGCAAGATGCAAAATAAATGTAAGTTCTTGCCATTGTTTATACAAATGGCAATAATGTACCATGTGGGGTTCCTCACTCTTTCCATTGGCTGTGTACATTATGAAATGCTGTCTGTCATTGGGAGATAGCAAAACGGCTGACATGCTTTGAGAGTCCAGCCTTAGGACTGTTTTCTGAACACCAGCTCAAAGTACTGAAAGCTTTACATAGTATAAGACTGGCAGCAATGTATCATATGGCCACCAGAGGGTGCATGATACTGAAGTTCAGCTGTGAGAATAGAGGATATTCTCATACGCTTTAAATGACTTGTCCTTGCCTTTCGATGCATTCAGAGAAGTGCTTTAGAAATCAGCCTCTAAGGCAGGAGCAGGAAACGTTAATCAACCTTAATGGATTTATGCTTAATTGAAGTGGCAACATGCACGACGTACCCACGGAACGGAGGGAAACCACACAGCAGAATGTACGTAATGACTCCAGCTGCCCAGATGTCAACCTTCAGGCCATATCTGTCGAGTGAGAAACACCATTCAATCAGTCATGTGCAAGAGTTGTCATGTTTTGTCGTTATTCATTCATTCATTCATTCATTCATTCATTCATTCATTCGTTCATTCGTTCATTCATTCATTCATTCAGACATGCTAAATCTAAAAAAAAAAAACATTTTCTTTTATTTTTGACCTAATAAAGATCCAGTTATTGAAAATGACTAAACATTAACATTAGTCATAAAGTATGAAATATAAAGTGTACATTTCAGAAAATTAATGAAATAACGATAAAATATTATCATTACACCAAATAATAAAAGTAAAAATTGTATACTGTAAATATGCAATGTATACATGGTTTATATGGTCTATGCAATATTATATGAACAAATAAAGTTGTATGCAACACCAGAAGTGTTCAAATTCCATGTTTTGTTGACTTTTTTTTTGTGAAACGTTTTCTCATCCTCTCCAGGGACCAAACGTAAATATTTCAGTTTTCTACAAATGTTTGTGCACAATTTCTATTTTATTTTGCTGACTTTAACATACTGGGGGAGGCAAAATAAAACATCCGATATATTTTATTTTACCCAACACATTAAATTCAGCAAATAAAAAGTAATTATGCATTAAAATGTGCAGAAGTTTGTCCTCTGTAGACGATGTGTTAACTTACTTTCAACAAAATATGTAATCTGACCTGAGATGCCAGAACTTTTGCATACAATTCTATTTCTGTTGTTTGCCACAGATTTAGTATATTTGTATAATTTTATAAATGTATAATTCATTAAGTATGAAGCAGATAAACCAGTGTGAGGTATGTTTTTGAGCACAAACAGAACACGAGTTAAATGAGTCTTTCTCCTGCTGTGTGCTCTCTGCCTCTCCTGCTCTTTACGTGTGATGAACGAGTGTTTGTGTTATGTAAGGCCCAGAGGAGAGAGTGACTCACCCGCTCTCTGCGATGATTTCCGGGGCTACGTACGTCGGGGTGCCACACACAGTGTACAGAGGCCCGTCTACCACTGTGGCCAAGCCAAAATCGCCCAGCTTCAGAGACTTACTGCCATCCTGGTGCTCATAGACCTTTAACACATACATACACCCACAAATACACACGAATTTTGTATTATGGTTATACTGGAAATACTAATGCACTGCGGCATGTACTCAGCAACAAGCTGCCACCACATATAAGCGATACTCTGTTTTCTTTTTTTTCCCTTCCTATTTCTAAAACTCAATGTTGTATTATGAAGCCCTCCAGGTCACAGTTTATCAGCTGTACATTGCACCTTAAAAGCTTAAATCTAACCTTAAAATGATTAATGTAAATAATCACATAAGGCCAAATCATTCTTCAGACAGTCAACCTTTTCCTCCAAGCCTTTCATTTCTTTATTAGATTCCAAGCCACTGTCATCAAACTACTATCACAGATTGTGTGTGCATGGTGATGAGTGCCAGTTCAGAGCTCCAGGGGCTGTGCATGCTGCAGGAGTGGGCTTACATAATCTCTCCTGGGCAAGGAAGAACATGCCTCTCCACACCGCTCTGATATTTGTTTGAAAAATGATGCTTGTAGGCTGCTGAGAGTATAACTAAAGATGAACTTTTAATTTTGTGCTAATGCAGTTTACAGCTTACAGTTTAGTCATCAACTTCTATTTTACCAGGTTGGCCAATAAATATCAAATTTGCTTACTATTTATTATTAAGCAGATGATATTTGTGTAAATGGATGTTTCTAGGTACTGTGAATAGTGTGGCATTTTGGCTCAGTCTCAAGCGTGCATGGCAGTGGTGTTATCCATTATGCTATGCCAACCAGCGCCATGCTGTTGTTCTAGATAATGCTGTTTAACCTTTAGCAGTTGTTATTGTTAGATTCATGTTTTACATATATTTACTAAGGGAATGGAAAATTACACTTATTTTCTGGTTAAAGCTGCCCTATGTAAGGTTTGGGGATTTGGAGACCTCTCTGGTGGAAATGTGCAATTGCATGCAATGTACAGAACAACATTTTGTAACTCTGTTTGTGCTTCGGACACCCTACGAATGGATGAATCTGATGATTGTGATGGACTGGTGACCTGTCCAGGGTGTATCCTACCCCCGCCCCCCTGACCTCTGGGATAGGCTCCAGCATCCCACCCCCCTCCCCGGCGACCCAGAAGGATAGGCAGTTTAGAAAATGTGTGTATTATTATTATTATTATTATTATTATTATTATTATTATTATTATATATTATTATTAAGCAGAAGAACTAATTTTATTTAACAAAAGCACTATATAAGACGTGGATGACGTCAGCGGGTGAGCAAGCGAGAATAATGAATTACACAGTGAAAGGCATCAAACAATACCTTTACCACAATATTTACCATAAGAGCAAGTAAAACTTTTAGATCTATAATGAGTATAGACTTAGAGAAGTATTAAGATGTTGGTTCTTTTAGACGTTAAGCACTTTACAGACCTGACCTGTAACTCACTCACTCATGTTTGCATTCTCCACAAGGGGGCACCATTAGCTGTCAAGTAGTTTTTGATGCATCATAAGAGTGCACTTTGCATGTGCAGTAGATCTTCTAGGAGCCTTTTTCTGCTGTTAATGGATGAGGTAACTCAGGCTAGATTTAACAGTATGCCTCTCTCTCTCTCTCTCTCTCTCTCTCTCTCTCTCTCTCTCTCTCTCTCTCTCTCTCTGTGCTTCAGTGGGAGTAGATGATTCAGGATGTTGTCTTACTGCAATAGCAATAAGCTTCTGTTACAAAACACTTATTCAACCACAGAAATAGAAAATGCTTTCTATGACTAAACTAGGCTTATTTTGTTCTGCCTTGTAAGAAATATATTTTTACATTTTGTTTTTGTCTCTTAAACCAGTGGTTTTCCATCCTGGTCCAGCTGCCCTGCAGGATGTTTTTTTCCCCTATTCTAACAAGATAAAGGACTTCATTAGCTCATTAGTTGCATCAGACTCTAAACTCTAAAATGTGCAGTGACTGCCATCCTGTGACACTGAGCAGGAATAGGAATAGAAACCACTGGCTTACAGCATTGCTCATTTAGTTAAGCCCTTGTAGCTGTGACAGAGAAATACCCACCAGTAGATTCTCCGGTTTGATGTCCCGATGCACGATGTTCAGGCTGTGCAGGTATTTAATGGCGCTGGCCAGGTTATACAGCATGCCACTGGCATCTCTTTCTGTGTATTTATTGGTGGATGTGATGGCATCAAAGAGGTCACCTCCCTGGATGTAAACACAATCCAAAAATAGAAAGCTACATCAGGGTCACAGGAAGTGGCAGTGCTGCAGCCCCCACAGTACCCCCACTTCCCATGTCCCTGATGTAGTCTAGCAATTGCAGTTAAACATTTCTGACAATTTTGAAATAGTTTAGCTGCAACTAAAAAAAAATGTACAAAAACAATAATCAGACTATAGTAAAGACCTACGTGTTTGTTTTAGGGTGGAGTTTGTGTCTTTATTTTATGTTTTATTTATTCATTTTCAAAGACTGCAGTAGCCATACGCTGTTTAAATTAATGCTGTATTTTCATAACAGACGAGCCAAATGGATTTCCTCCTCATTGCTGGCCGCTCTTGGGGCATGTCACTAAAACACATTATAGCACAGAATGTAAATAATCTCAAAAATTCAAATAAAAAACAAAGAAAAGGCATAATTTGCATGACATCATTGTATACATCCCTTAAAATTTTAGCCCCCCCACGTCAAAACACTATCCCATGTCCCTACATGTGGCTACACGTCATCAAACAGCATCAAACTCATTAAACTGCAGATTTATTATTCAGTTATTGATCTTAAGGCTGTTCACTGAGTAACTACTATGACCTCAGTAACCACAATGGAACAGACAGTTCATTAGAGTTAACTTGCTTGATGTGTAGGATTAAAAACGCTAATCAAGTTACCTTCACCAGCTCCATGACCAGGTAGAGCTCACTGTAAGTGTCCATCTCCTCAATCAGCAGGACAATGTTGGGGTGTTTCACTCTCCTCAAAATGGACACCTCATTCTGGATCATATGCTCCTGCACAGAACAGACAATGAGCGTGTTGACAATGAGCTACATGCACTGAATAATCCGATAACTGCAGAAAATTAGATTTTGTCAGAAATCTGATCAATGTGTTCATATGCACTTGGGTAATCAGATAATGGGGAAACTCTGGGTCTATATGATTTGGGCAGTAATCAGATTTCTGCTTTGCAACCAGCCAGTAAACTCACAGAAGAAGACGTGACGTAGCTTAAAACTCGAACTTCGTGCTGCGGCTTTTTGTTTAAAACATTGCGGCGCTTTACCTAAAAATACGAACACACATCATCTAGAAGATGAAGAATATTTGAATCCTTCATTCTGTCAAGCATGTAGTTGGATTCAGTGTTGCTGTAAAAGTGTTTTGCTGCATTTCGCAGCAACACTGCTGGCTTATTTCCGGTACAGCAGTCTGTTTTCGCACATGCACAGACTGAGAACTCTGAAAGAAATCCGAGTAAGGGTACACATGCACTGAGAAATCTGATTAGTGAGCTAAACTCCAGCTCTCTCTCTCAGATTTCTTAATCGGATTTCTAAACCTTACTTCGATCTAAGAAATCAGAGTATGCCATCTACCTGACCATTTGAATAATCCGATAACTGCAGAAATCCCATTATAATCGGATTATTGAGGGCATGTAAATGCACTCATTGTACATTACTTATCATTATCTGCTTAGATTGCTGCTTCTGCACTAAATGATTCTAAATGCAACATCAACCCACCAGAGAGGCCAGTCAAGCAGGGAAGATAAGGGTTTAAAGCCAACAAGACTAATTATCATTACACTGTATGGTTTATGCTTCTTCAAATGCTTTGTCCTTAACACCCTTAAAGGGGAATTCCACCAATATTTTAATGTTTCTGCATGATTCAATCAGATGTAAACAAAGTAATTCAGAGAGGTGTGATGCGAAATGTTCCTTTATAGAGGATATTACCAACTGATTTCTTTACAGTGATGTTGATAGGAACCAGGGGCCGTGATGTCCACAGCATAAATATAGGGATTTTATTTAATATCCAAAATCACAAGGGAGTCTACACTGTCTTCTGAGTTTTTATATGTAATGTTGGATTTGGTACAACTGGGGAAAATTCTTTCTTTTGGTATTTTGCCCAACACAAACAACATACCTCTCCACCATGAATGGATTTTACATATGTTTTAAATCAAAAGCTTGTCACAAAACTATTGCGAATCAATGTCTCAAATACCAGGTAACTTATAACGATTTCATGTAATAGCTTTCTATGAAGGAGCTTTTAGAGGCTTTGAACTCTTTAGTGGTCTGCTTCCTATCACCACCACTGTGAACAATTCTGACTCTTTACATTTCTCTAGAACAGAGAATTTAGCCTCAAACCACTCTGAATTACTCTTAACTCTTAACTATTACTATCTAAATATTTAGACACATCTCACTTTAGAGACTGGCTTATGGTTTCATGTACTGGTCTGAACGGTCATGTAAAAATGAATTATGGCTGTTTTTGGTATATAAAAGAATGCAAATGTTATAGATAAAAAAAAACAAGCGAAATAGTAGGATATGTTTGCTTTAATAGTGTTAAGAGCTCTAGTAAACTGAAAATACCGTTACCATATTAAGTTAATGCACTTTATTTTTTGCTGCATCATGTGTTGATCTGACACCAGCAGACCATGTCAACTGAAATATGAATTTTGTGGATTGTTACAGCCCTAAACTAACCTAACCTCAGACACCAAACATGATTGGATGAATGACAACATTTTCAGTAAGGGGGAAAATTTTGTAAACTTGAAATATTCCTTTAAAGTTGTCTCACCTTCCCTCTGCATTTGCCCTTGTTGATGATTTTGAGGGCGTACTCCCGGCCAGTGGATCTCTCCACGCACTCTCTCACAACTGCAAAGTTTCCATCTCCAATCATCCTCCCCACCTTGTACCGCTCTGCTATAGAGGCAGGGACCTGAGGGCTCTCCTCCATCACCTCGGCTACAGCAGGACACAAACCAACTGTTAGTTTTTGTAATTTACTATGAGACACCAATAATCATCTAAACCTGTAAACAATCTTCTTTTTATTTAAGCAATAGGACACAAGAGGGAGTGTGTTATTCGTGATAATCTTAACAGGTTCAGAATTCGCTGTAGGTCCACTGCCACACTCTTTTTCAGAATCTGGCCAAATGGGCTGCAGGTCAAATATCATATCGCTGCTGTCAGAAGAAAACCTTGTATCTCCATTTTTGACGTTTTCAGTTTTTGACATCATTTGAAAACGCCTGTTGCCCTTTACATTGTATGTAAATTGATGAATGGACTAAAAGAAATGACCTAAAATTAGTTGGAAAAAGTCTGCTTCCATTGACTTACATTAAAAGTAACAAGGTAAGAACAACGATATAAAAGTTATCTAATGTGTCCATTTTCTGGTACTGTATATGCTGAAGTAGGCAATTAATAATGATTAGCTACAGTCATTATTTTGCAATCGGTGCTCAGCATAATATTATTATGAAAAAAACATGCTTTTATCACAAATAACAGCACAGGCAGAGCACTTCTGAACCAATCAGATTGTGTTGTTGTAAAATACAAAGCAATAACTGGTTAAACTGTATTCAGATTGACTTTAGGTACGTGGATAAGTCAAACAGTCTTTTGAACTAATTGGCATTCACACAAAGAGCACTTCTGATTCTCAGTCTTGTGATGAGAGGAGATGGTGATGAGGGTGAAGTCTCAGCAGTGGTTTCTTACCCTCACTGCCAGGGCCATCGCCCTCGTCCATGGAGCTGCAGACTTTAGTGGAGGCCAGAGAGAGGGAGGAGCCACTGTGCTGAGAACTCTGTAAGAGAGATAGGAAAAGAGAGATGGTGCCATTTAAACTCTGCTCAAAGTGTAAAGTCCCCTTAACAGCACAGTGTTTACGTTATATATGTTTTAGAATTTTATGAAATGTCATAAAGTAGCAACTGCAAAACTCAGCACAGAGCTTTTAATTTGAAACGATGGTTAAAAGAAGTGGACGAACATTGCACAAACAGTCGGAGCCGAAGTGCCGAATGAAATGAATGTTGTCAGAGGAGTGGATTATTCAGGCTAACTTAGCATGCCATGAGGAGGCTGGGTTGACCTTATTTTGCAATGTTACTAAGTTCAGTTTTACATTTTGTGAACTATTGTGGAAAATGGTGATCTGAACTATAAATAAAGTCAGTCAAAAGAAACTTTTCATCTGTTTTATTCTGTGCAAATCTGGCTACTTGCTCGTTGTGATGTGTTAATGCTAGCCAGCTAGCTAGCTAGCCAACGAGGGTGAGCTTCTGTTAAGAACGCTCCGGCCTGCCACCACTGCTGAAAAAATCCTAGAGGTAATACTGCAGCATAACTGCACTATTGGCATTACAGCAGGCAGCATCTAGCTGCTTGTTTTTTATTTTTCTTTTTATAATCATAAAATTTGTACCCATTTTTTCAGCAGTTATGGCAATCTGTTGACTGTTAGCTTTTATTTTTATAGGAATTTCAGAATGTCTCAGCAGGGGCTGACACCGTGACATCACATGGATTCCATGCATTGGATTGGTCCACTCCAGCTCCGCCTACTCATCATTCCACACACCTGTGGCTTATTCGTAAGACTGATGATGACACCTGTATATAGACAATTCTTCCAAAGTAGTTCTAACTGTAGTCTAACTGTATAGGTGGAGCTTTATTTTAGTCACACCCCTGCAGGAAGTGAGACTTCATCCCTGTCCCTCATGGCCACATGGTGAGCAATTAGATCCCACTGTTTTGAAGTAAATGTGTCCCAAAGTCTAAAAATCAGGTTGTAACACTAACAAGTGTCACATATTTTCTGTAATTAAGTAAAATTTGTGTATTAATGAAAGATAATTATATTCAAGGCTGTGTTTGCTAGTCATATACTGGATAGTGTTTACAAGCTCTGCTCAAAACTGGTTAAAACTGTTACTACCTAACATTTGGTAAAATCTCAGTAGTGTTATATTTTTTTCACCCTTTGTGAAGTCTACTAATCCTAATTAGTCTAATAGTATAATAAATTATTTTTAGTAGTCGTTGCATCTTCATCACCTAACAAAAACATGCCATTGTCCAAATAAAACATGCAGGATCCGGCTGCTCATCTTCCACAGTTTGTAATTAGTTCATAGAGTTGGACAACGAGGGGCTCTACTGTTCCCTACTCTTTCTGGTGCTCTACATTTCATACCCTGACCGCAGGACAGCCGCTTCATATGGCGAAAAAAATAAATAAAAAAACAGCAGTTTCCATGGAAACACTCTGGCCTAGACATGCTAAGAATAATTCAGCATGAGAGCAGGTTGAGGTGAAGCTTCCTGCCCTCACCGCTTGCCATGTATGGTCACTTCCTGTTCCTCTCAGCAAAGCCCTAAAACTGACATTGAAGATCTCGTGCAATGTTTTACACCATGAATACCATCCCCTCCCCTTCATTAAAGCTTTAAATAACAGACTAGAGGGTGAAGTTGTAAATCGGTGGCATGTATGTAAATCACTCTATGTATGTTACTTTTGCCTGGATAAAAGTGTGTTTTATAAAAGCTCTCCTATAATCTGATATTCAAAGTCAGCATCATAGGCACCAACTAAACACTGAGTCTATCTGGGTGACCTGCATTTTCTAAGACAGACTCTGCACTTGTGCCCCTGTTCTCTTTCACAGGCTTCAGCAAAAGCAGAAGATGAGTTTGACCTATATTTGCAAAAGCTGTATTTAACTTAGACTGTTCAAAAAGGTCAGAGCCCACCAAAGTACCATTCTGTCAGTAGTGATCGTGCCCAAGCTTTGCCTTTATTACAGCTTCCATTCTGTTCAGGATACCTGCGTAGAGTTTTTCATAGAAATGTGCAGGAACATTTTTCCACACCTCCAAAGTTCAGTCTTAGAAGTTGGTTGCATTTTCTGTTTTTCGTCCAAGAGGTCTGAATGGTGGTCAGTTTGTTCAGAGATTACCAGCAGCTTCTTTGTTTGATTTACAAATATTCTTTTCCCTTTCTCGGTAAGGGCTTCTTGATAGCTACACATGCTTTCAAACCTGTAGCATTCAGTTATCTTCACACAGTGGAAGGTAGAACAGATACACCACATATGTGAAGCAAAAGTGGAAACTGATTTTCTCCTTATCTGATGTGGACAGTTTTGGTGGTCCACCAGGTTTTGCATGGTTGTTAAGAGTCCAATTTTCTGTGTATCTTTTTTGAACTCCAGTTTTGGAAACTCCTACTTTTTCACTTATTTTCCTTTTATTTTCCTTTGCCTTATGCGAGGATTCCTATAAGGCACTGAATTTATATTGTTCTTTAGACTGAAGGAGAGCCTGGATGAAACATTGGTGAAATTCCACTGGAAATGAATATAAAATCACTGAAAGTCTTAGGGGAAAGAAAACCAAAGCTACTGAGGAAGTCACCTACAGTATCGTGTATGACTTTCTCAGTTGAGTGTCTGGTGAAAGCTTTTCATGTTAGTAATTATGATCACTAAAACATATCGCTGTTGTCGGAAGAAAACCTCGTATCTCTAAAATGGTAAAGGAAAAAACCTACTTTACCTTTAATGTAAGTCAATGGAACCAGACCTTTGCCAAGTCATTTTGGGCTGTTTCTTTTGGTCCATTCATCATTAAATTTACACACAATGTAAAGGATAACAGGCATTTTCAAATTAAAAACTGAAAAATGACAAAAATGGAAATACAAGTTTTTCCTCCGACAGCAGTGACATGTCATGTTTGTCTTACCATAAAAGTTGTTCACATTCGCATTTGTGCATCCTACTAGTCTTATTAGTGTCTGCTGCAAGGATTAATGTCTGATTTGTAGTTTTTGTTGAAATAAGTAGTGAATCTCGGTCTCAGACATTATTCCAACAATGTATCATTCAAGTGCAGTTGAAGGGGAATTCCACCAATTTTTGAAAAAGTCTGCATAATTACATCTTTAATATGTAAACAGTCATTCAGTGTTTGATGTGAAAACTTAATGAGTCAGAATTGTTTACAGTGGTGGTGATGGGAACCCGACATATGAAGAGTCTCTAAAAGCTCCCTCACAGAAAGCTATTTCATGAAATGGGAACAAATATCTTGTCTGATGTCTGATACATTGTATTAAAACAGTTTTATGATGAAGTTTTGCCCTAAAAATTCATTGACAGGTACAGCATTTTACACTTAACAACATTATATTTAAAATTCAGCAGACATGTCAAGATTGTCTGGTGGTTTTAGATCGTAAGTACAATGACTACATTTGTGATGTAGACATCACAACCCCTGCTTCCCATCACCACCACTGCAAAGAAATCTAGAAGTTTCTCTAGAACGGGGCATTTTTCATCAAACCACTCTGAATGTCTTTGTTTACATATCATGCTTTTAAATATGCAGAGATTTTCTAGTGGAGCTCCCCTGTAAGTCCATGGTAAATATATATATACTACATTTTCATTTGAACACTTTTAGGCAAACAAGCTTCATAACATTTTAGATTAAAGGCCAGTTCCTAAGGTGTTGGTTGGTGGGTGAAGAAAGAGGACAGTGTGGCCAAAACTCTACCACATGCTTCAGCTCTGAAATCAGTTGTAATGAAACAGGAGCCAAGTCCAGAGGCTCATCTCTGGTTGCTAGGAAACATTCAGGGAGTACAGGGAGTTATTCTGTACACATGGAATGCACTAGGATAGCATTTAAAGAGGTTGTCACAAAAATTAGTGCATGTGAATAGCCTGAAATGAACATCAGTAAAAACTGGTTATGCTCAGTGATTAACAGCCTAAGACCAAAACAAATAATGTACAACAAACCCGAGGTTTGAAATAAAAAGGCTAGAATTAAGAGTTTCAGGATGGCCAAAGATGAAAGGCTCTTACCCGCCGTCTCCTGAGGCTGGCCGGGCTGGTGGGAGAGGGGCTCGGGGATTTTCCTGACCGAGGGGTAGACAGCTGACTGCCTGCTGTTCCATTTGCTGAGGAGAGAGCAAACAGAAGAACAGCTCAGTGAACTTCTTTTTGATTTAAATGCAGGTACTGAGAACGTATTCAGCTTCAACTGAGTAGTCTTCCCAGACATTTCCAGAATCTTTCATTGCACGACAAAAGCAGCACCTTGTGATGAAACGAGAAGAACAAGACCTTTCGTGGTTTTCTTCAGATGAAATCTTTTCAGACTCGCCAACATAAGCAAAAGAAAAAGGATGCTTATAGCTGGCTCTACATCATTTCTTGAGTGAAACCTGAACCAACATTCATTAATGTCCTGTAAAAACAACATATCCACATCCATAATGAACGTGCTACAGCAGTTGCCGCTGGGCTGTAATTATATTAGAAATTCATGCCCTGAAAACTGAGCATTAATCAACTTCATGGCATGATCAACCACCACCAGCACTCAGACTCAATGCAATCTCAAATTCTCCTTAAACAACAAAGAACAGCATGCTGGATTTTAATATGAGTTATAAATGAACCATTTGTATCGCCCACTAGCTGAAATCTTTACAAAGAACAAAATAAAAGCCCCTTTGATTAGACAAAAGATCCAGTAAAGCTGCTTTTTGATACCATCCACAGTAAAAAGTGCCATGCGAGTCAATCTGAATTGACCTGAACCGAACAGAATTCCTCTTACCTATTCCACAGTGTAGCAAGCTGCTGGAGGAGAGGGTTAGGGCTGCCAAGCTCATGCTGGCTGAGTGTGATTTTCTGTGAATGAGCTGTGGAGTCGAGGGGGTGAGCTGTAATAGTCGGCTGCTGAACAGTCATAGGCAGACTGCTGCTCTTGCGTACGTGTGACGTCAGCACTAGCTTAAGCAACAGGAGTAGCTGTCATGTGCAGGGAAATATGAACTATGAAAGGGATCCTATCTCATAATAAGATATAATAAGATCCAATCTCACAAACTCAGCATGCGAGAAGCTTTTTATAACAGTGGGAGCATAACTGAGTGGAATCAGACTGAAGAAAAACAAAGTATAATTGCAAATTACACTATCACCCAAGGTGCCAATACCTCTCCGAGTCAGGCTTGATTGCAAGCACCTAATTTCATCTTCTAGCTAATCCAAGGAAAGAGCTAAAGTGCAAAACAAGTCTAAATTTAGATTTCCCACTACTGCGCTGAAGTTTGTCACTACACTCTAAATAATACATCCCCTTTATGTGGGCACTTCTATTTCAGTTGGCCATCTCTCAGTATGACTGAAAGCGTACCATGTTATTTTTGGGTTAGAAAACACTCCATGAGCCATCAGCCTGGCTGTTTTTTTGTGTGTGCTACTCCAGAATGGAGTGCAATTGCAGTATGAGTAATGTGTGTAAACTGTTGGTCAAAACAAGCTGTCTAGATTGAAGAGTGAGAAAAAGCAAAACATTGAATCAAAGAGGATGTCTGACGTACAAACTGAAAGAAGTTGTATTTTATTTTTTATATAACAACATCTATATATCACTGCTGTCGGAACAAAACCTTGTATCCCCAAAATGACAACTTCACACGAGAACGAAAAAAAATACTTGAAATTACTCTTAATGTAAGTCAATGGAACCAGACTTTTCTCCAAGTCTTTTCAGGCTGTTTCTTTTGGTCTATTCATCATGAAATTTACACACAATATAAAGGCCAACAGGCATTTTCAAATTATGTCAAAAACTGAAAAACTGCAAAAATGGAGATACGAGGTTTTGTTCTGACAGCAGCAGTGTGTTGACACTATTTGTTTGAATGGAAATGTGCAGCATGCTTCCATCCAAAGTCCATACAATGTGGGACATGAGGAGAACGCTTTTTGACTACAATCCTCAAGAAGCTGGGGTTTCATTTATGGATCATACTAAAAAATTCATTACAGCATTTGAGTAGGACCGATTTATAGAAACATAATGTTCACAAATCACGTACTGTAATGCCTGTGGCGCCCTGGCACTGCTGTTCATACGTCAGACTGGAAAACTGTGTTCATCTACACCTTTTCATATTAAATTCACATTTTATAAATCACTACATGTGAATTTTCACATACGATCATTTTCAAAGCTATGTATATAAATGCCTTCCTTATAAATGAGGCCCCAGATGACAGGTGTGTCTTGCACACAAAAAGAGCACAGAATGTCCCCTCTCTTCATTCAGCTCATAATTATTTAATAATTAATAATAAATGTAATAATTATTTTTGGACTGCTTTGACTTTTAAAATGAGAAATGCATGTGTCCTGTCTTGGTGAGGTTCCTCAGGGGCCGACACTTTCCATTAAAGATTGTGTTTAGATCTGCAAGCAGATGCAGGTTCTTCCATAATTCAGTTCCCCAGCATGTAAGAATGCTTTCATCATGCCATATCATAAGTACATCTGGAGCTGCATCTTATAAAAAGTAAACAGGGTCATTAACCCTTTAATGCCAATTCAAAACAGCTCAGAAACTATCGCAGTGTATCAAACAAAGGCAGCATAGAGGTTCTTTCATATAGAGATTACAGGGACATCAAGTGAGTCTCTGCAACACTGAAGCCGTGCTTGGTAAAAGAGTTATTTCAGCTTAGAGAAAAAGCTATAATATGATTGTGTGAATCTAAACACATGAAGGAATAGAGAGAATAAAAAGAGAAGGCCAGGAGTTCAGTTCTGGCCTACTTAATGAATTCCCATGTTGCAAGACTGCTCTGCTCATGGAAACAAGCTACAACATAACAGCCCCTATCCACTCCAGTGTCTCAGTAATTAACAGAGGCTCTTTGTCTCTGTGGTATTCCATCCTTATTTGGAGTGCCTAATCATCATGCTGTTCTTCTAGACTTAAAATGAGAAAAGTGGTTGATCTCAGTGAGGAACTTGTGCAGCTAACACAGACATAGGAGGAGTGGGTTTCAGGGTTTAAGGATTTCTTTTTCTCCTCAGCTATTAGACGACACTGCAGTTCACAAATCTGTGTTCCCTTCCAGCTCCTCATATCCTAGTTGCTCTTGATAGATGGCCAATGTTCTTAAGCAATGCAACTCATTTGGGACAAACTAGTCAACGAAACAACAAAATATTAGAGGTGTAAAAATGCACCTAATGCAAAGAATCAGCAATGTAGAGGCTTTGAAAACCCATTGGTATTTCCAAACTAGTACTTGACTACTTGTTCTCAAAACCACCCTTAAAAACGATAACTTTTACATTTCATTTATTAATATGAACTAGCCGATAATTTTAAGCATGTTTGTTACTGCAGCACGTCTCGGCATGGTGTTGTAGAGGTTTTTAATGGTGTCCTGCCATAATCCCATGCAGCTTGAATCCCATGCAGCTTGAATATTTTCACACAGTTCCAGCAGGTTTTGCAGTAGGGGTGGCCCCTTATTTCCAGTGAAGGGAAATCGTAATGCTTTAGCAGACCAAGATGTTTATCAGACAATTCTGTGCTTCCAACTTTGTAAGAACAGTCTGGGGAAGAACCTTTTCTGTTCCAGCATGACTGAGCCCCAGGGTGCAAAGCAAGGTCCATAAAGGCCTGGCTGGGTGAGTTTGGTGTGGAAGAACTTGACCTGGCCCGTACAGAGCCCTGACCTCAACCCCATCAAACACCTTTGGGATGAACTAGAATGGAGATTGTAAGCCAGGCCCTCTCATCCAACATCAGTGTCTGACCTCACAGATGTTCTTCTGGATGAATGGGCAAAAATTCCCACAGATACTCTAAAATCTTGGAGAAAGATTAGATTAAGTGACCCTTATTGGTCCCACAGCAGGGAAATTTCACCTCTGCATTTAACTCATCTGTGCAGTGAAACACCACATATACACTAGTGAACACACACACTAGGGGGCAGTGAGCACACTTGCTCAGGGCAGTGGGCAGCCCTTTCCGCAGCACCTGGGGAGCAGGTGGGGGTTAGGTGCCTTGCTCAAGGGCACTTCAGTCACGTACTGTCAGCTTAGGGGATTGAACCGGTGACCTTCTGGTCACAGGGCTGGTTCCCTAACCTCCAGCCCATGAAAAGCGTGGAAGCTGTTAGAGCTGCAAAGAGGGACAAACTCCATATTAATGCCTTTGGATTTAGAACAGGATGTCATAAAAACTCCTGTAGGTGTAATGTGTAGGTGTCCCAATACTTTCCTACCCATAGTATAACATGTATATGTATGTATGTGTGTGTATATATATATATATATATATATATATAATGTATGTATATGTAATATATATACACGTGAGCATATCTAAAAATATATTAATTGTTGAGGTTATGTACCTCAAAGTGTTTCTAAGCCTTTGCATTACTTTTTGCATGATAAAACCTAAAGACACATATTTTTTGTCAGGAGTACTAGTACCAAGCCCAGAGAACACAGGCTGCAGGGCTAAGGGGCCACTGAATCTGTGATCACTGTCACCCTGCAGAATGTGTCTCCTGGTCAGATCATTATCTTTTTAGCAGTTTCTGTCTGACCTCTGCAGGGTTTTCATTTGTACACTTCTGAGTTCATGATCCCATCAATAAACACAAGCTCACTGACACTACTGTAAGAAAAACTGTCTCAGACCTTAGTCCATCAACGTTGTGCCAGAAGTATTTTTTCTGTATCAAACATCATTTCGTTAAACACTTTATGAAATAACCTAAAGAATTTCTTTAAAGTTTGCAATGGTTAAATGATCAAATTGCCCAAATTTAGGGAAACTGTGGATAAATCTTTTACAGGATAGAAGTCTTTTACACAGCAGTGTTTCTCTAAGTACAGCAGGGCACTGCAATGAGGTACAGTGGTTTGTAAGTCAGGCTGATTGCAAGACGATCCACTCTGCATACTGCACTGACTCTCTGAGCACGCTGCTGTAGAAAGAGACGGCTTGCACAAATGTGGCACACTCAACCACCCACTCAGCACCAGTGGCAGCTGGACTACAAGGGTTTCACTAGAGAGAGAGACAGAGAGAGAGAAAGAGAGAGAGGGAGCCATATCTTTTCCTTATGTAATGTATTTGCTTGACCTGAAAAATGTTGATGGAGACAATGACTCACACACTCAGGTCCAGACAGGCTTGTTTACTAAATTATAGTTAGTTCTACTTGATCAGTGTGTGATGACTTGGTTAAAGCACACTTTGTTGAGTAATTGCCTATTTCCTCATCGTTATCACTGTAGTAAACAAGCATTCAAAGTATTAGGTATTTTATATAATGTCAACATGACGAAAGCATGTCTTCTGACTCAACAGAACAGCAAAATAAACAAGAACATCACAAAAGCATGAGTAATGCGGCTGTGCATGCGGTTTCTGATCTCAGGAGCATTTCAGCTACTTGAACAAAAAAGCTCAGAATGCTTTTTAAGATTACTAATAAAATATGTACGAGTACAGAGAGTATCTTCTTTACATTAGACTATATCAACAATGCAATGTAACATACTTTTCCTTTACATGACTATAGAGGAGGGCAACATATGGAGATACAGGAACCGCTCAAGATCCCAAGCATATTACCTTTAGGATTTACAAGAATGCAAATGTTTAGAATTGCTATGAGGTACGCAACCTCGATTTCACTTTTTGTTCCAAAACAGGGGTTTTAGTCATTCCGGGCCACAGTTCTGCAGAGATTTGTGTTTTCTATCTGAATTCAAATCACAAAGGTCTTGGTAATTAGTTGGTGAGCTGAATCAAGTGTGTTAAATGAGGAGGAACATTAAAGTATTTCAAAGGATGTTCCTGACCCTTTCAAAGGATGGTTCTTTAAAGAACCATTTTTATGAGTGTGAAGAACCTTTTTAAAGTTTAAAAGATCATAACATAATATAAAGCTTCTAAACCAATTAAAGACTTTTCTTACCATTCATTTCATCTAAGCCAAGAACCACTTAGGAACCTTTTATTTTTGACTTTTGGAATAATAGGTCACTGTTATTTGTACTCACGTCTGAAGTTTATAACTGGCATGTATGCCGTGCAGTGCAAAATGTTCTTTGATACCACTGCAATACGCACTTCCAGTACATCTAATATCATAATGCAGACTGTAGCTAATCATGCCAACTTTGCAAGGACTGCCTGCTAAATGTGTACTTGTGAGGTGCAGGGTTTCAAAGGTGCAGTGAAATAGTGGAACTGTAAACTAGACCAGGACAAAAGAGAAAATGAAATTGCAGAGACAAAGGGACCACTGTTAATAAGTGACTTACCACCAAAACTTTTCGAGTTATGAAGGTTTGGCTTTGACACCCAAATATTACATTTTATGTCCAGTACGAATTGGGCACACAAGGCTGAATCCAGAGTGGTTCTTTGTTAGACACACTGTGCTCTGTTTAGATTCAGTAGCCATTATTTTAAGACCTACGTGCTGCAGTTTGTGAAGAGAAGGGAGCCATTTGAGATTCTGCCTAAAACAGTTTGCGGCAGTGTTGTGCCACCTGACCCGAATACTGTGCTCTGATTCGCTGAACGGACTTATCATGTTCTGCTCTGGTGTTTGACTGTTTCAGCCATAAAACGTGAACTTGCAATGCCCTGAATGTGTATATATATATATATATATACACACACACAGATAGATAGATAGATAGATAGATAGATAGATATTATTCATACATACGTATATCTTCCTGCACACTAAATATGTAACAATGCAAGAACAAAAGTAACCTATTAAATTGTATTTTTTTTTATTGATTAGCAAAGTTTGCTTCAGATAAACTTCACTGTCAAACAGCGCCACCTAAACCTTTCAGGATGAAAAAAAAACAATCAATACCAATTACCATTGATTTGTTTGTCCAGCTTCCACAGCATGTCTCTTCTCCCTCTGAGGCAGCCAGGAAGCTACTGTGGCTGCTCTGCTTTGCTCGTGGCCTCCAGTCAGCAATTACGCTGAACCTGTGACAGTAATGGCCTCTTGAAACCTTCTGCTGTCAAATCAAACCATCAGCACTACCATCACTTCTTCATGGAACTTTGCTGGACATTTCTGAGAACGAGCCTGCAGCTGTGGTTTGGTTCATGGGGGGGCTTTATTAGGGAAGCCTGAGTGGCCAGCAGCCGCTGAGTGACGAGGCGTTCAGTGTCTGAAGGACGGAGGCTGCTAACCTGCAAACCATGGAGGAACAGCAAGTACCAAAGCAAAGTAATTGTTCTGTGGTCATTGATTTTGTTGTTCTGCTTGTGTACTTGCACAACACCGGATGTTTGCTCATTCTCATCAAAGGAGAAATGATTCATGCTCCATTATTAGGATGTCAACAGTGCAGTAAGAGCTGAATGGAACATGTTTTTAATAGTACTTTGTTGTGCTACAAAACTGTGGGAAAAATAAGTATCAGGATGTTTGTAAGTGTACTTTTTGCAATAATTGTGTTGATGGATGTCAGGGCTAAAGGGGAAACCTTTCAGAGGCTTTCAGGGATATATATACATATCCCTGGGCAGAGGTCAGGAGGTGGTGGTCTGGTCAACAGAATTTTTCAGGGCCCCAGCCATGTCTTTGTGCAGGCCTGGTTGATGTAATGTATTTATTTCATGTAGAAATTATGCACATATTTGAGTCCAGAGAAATCAATGGACTTTTTGTGCACCCAAAGAGCAGAGCAAACTAAAATGGGGCAAATAAAATAAACAAATGCTATTAAAAGCCGCAGACATGAAGACGATGAGTTATAGTACTATAAACATTAATAAACCCAGTAATGCAGCATCAGGCTGAAATTAGACTGGAACAGAGTGAAAGACTCCATATACTGCCAACTTTGTGAGTCAGAGCCCCACACTGACTGAACAAGGTGATTCAGAACTGCACTGGAATCTCAACCCCCACACCTCAACTACACACAGATTTTTCATTCACATTACTCTTATATAAGATAATACCACAATAAACACAAGTGCAAAGTCTACCACGTCCATTAAGCGTTACTACACTTCTGTAAATCACTCATGTACTTCAGTTGTCCAGAATATGTATGTACATGTTTTAACCCTTAGAAGTCCCAGTTACTGCTGGTGATAACAAAAGTATGGTGTAATTTAAAATGAATTATTTCTTCCTCATAGCTCAATGAAACAATGTGGCACTTTCAGGTGACACCACATTTGTGTTTGTAGGTACAACAGAAGAGCACTTCCGAACTGAAACAACTATTCATTATCGATCAACTTCAACATTAAAAAAAAATTGTCAAATTTTCGGTTAGAGATTTTTCGTTTACATTTTTAAGGTGAAATCTGGCGTCAGTTACAGACTTAACCTGAAGAGGGCAGCAGTGTTGTGTTTGTGTGAGCAGACAGTGAAAGAAGAAAAACAATTATGTCTGAAAGTTTAAAAAGGAGAAAAATCCAGGAGCATTTTCTTAAAATGATGGATAAAGTTTCACATTCAACATATCATCACTTCCGGGACAAAACATCATATCTCCATTTTTTTGCCATCATTTCAAATTGCCAGCTGCTTTTCACAGTGTCAAAATTTCTTGATAAACAGACCAGCAGAAATACTCCAAAATTAAGTGTGACAACTAATATCTCTACTAACTTCATTAAAAGTTTCCCTTCTCCTGTAAATTTATCTTTTCTGAGATATGAGGTTTCGTTCTGACAGCAGCGATATGCAAGTCTGACTTAGCTTTCCATGGAAGCACAATGTTACCCTCAAACACCTGAAAAGAAATCATGCTGCTGTTGATTCTGAAGCAGCAGGACAGTCAGTAGCTTTCATGTTGTGAGAGTCATGTACTGTAATCATGTCCTGTAATGCAAATGAGTAAAAGAGCAAAACTAGTGTAATAACTACTAACTGTTAAATCGTTAACTATCTGGATGATGGTGTGATTCTGAGGCAGGCAGTGCTGTATTATTGGGATTTGACGCTCGTACCTGAGCTGTTGGAGGCGGGGGATTTGCTCCTGCGTGAAGCTCCACTGCGAGGAGAGCAGCGGCCCTGCATGGACGAAATCCGACCGTATGACTGCGACTTCACCACCCTGCATTCTGAGAGAAAGACAGCCCAAATAAGGGAACTACTACAAAAGCAACAGATTGACCAAAACCTTGTTACTCCATTATTTGAAACATTTACTTACATCAATTAAAAATGACTTCCCTTTATATTATGTGAAAATTTCCACTAAAGCATTAGAAATGCACCTGTTACATTTCACAGTAGCCAAGAAATGCAATTTCTGCCTATTCTGGAGGTGCCTCAGTTTTGGGACTAAGCATTCTTTTCTTCAAAAACGTTGATGGAATATATTTAAATGACTAAAATGTATACAATTTACATATTTACACATTGATTTTTGTCTTAGTAGGTGAGCAAACAACTCAACGTTCATGACAGTGTATTTATTGTGTCACCAAGACTATTCGTTGTGTTTAAAGTTTATTTTTTATCATGGCAGTTGCACACAATTGTTTGATATGAATAAAGTTACAGTTTGATATGAATAGTCTGAATTTTTTTCACAGCAGGGGGGTCTCACCCCTCCCCTTTCATCCCTCATTGCTCCCTAGCAGCTCACCAAAGAGTAAGAACATTTAACAGTGTCCTTGTTGATCTGATAACAGAGTTAAGGGGAAAAATATTTATTTGATTATATTAAATATTTCCAATATGCTGGTGGAATGGACACTAGATGGTCCATTCATCAGGGTATTTCTGCAGCTCAAGGGCAGTTTTAAAAATGGAGCTACAGATGGATTCCCTGGCCAAAATGATACAAAATGTGTTAATGGAACCAAAACGATGTCCAAAGGTATACAAAAAAGGTAAGAGCAGCATTACATGTATCTTACCACTCTCATCCAGTAGGAAGTCATCCTGGTAGCGGAACTTCTCCGGTCCACAGGCAATGAATATGTCGTCCTCACCAAAGAAGTCTTGGAGGCACATCACCTGGAAATGTGACAGAGAGCGAGAGGGAAAGAGATTCTTAAAAGGCAACAACAGTGAAAAGTGTTTTTTTTTGTTTTTTGTTTTAGTTTACTATTTACTGAAAAGAAAATACTAGGTTTCTCTTAACTGTTTACCCATATTGATCAGTATATATATATATATATATATATATATATATATATATATATATATATATATAATATACACACATATACACTGACCAATCATAACATTATGACCACCACCTTGTTTCTACGCTCATTGTCCTACTATTGTCCTACTATTTGGGTGGTGGATCATTCTCAGCACTGCAGTAAAACTGATGTGGTGGTAGTGTGTTAGTGTGTGCTGCGCTGGTACGAGTGGATCAGACACAGCAGTGCTACTGGAGTTTTTAAACACCTCAGTGTCACTGCTGGACTGAGAATAGTCCACCAACCACAAATATCCAGCCAACAGCGTCCTGTGGGCAGCGTCCTGTGACCACTGATGAAGGACTAAAGGATGACCAACACAAACTGTGCAGCAACAGATGAGCTATTGTCTCTGACTTTACATCTACAAAGTGGACTGACGAGGTAGGAGTGTCTAACAGAGTGGACAGTGAGTGGACACCGTGTTAAAAAACTCCAGCAGCACTGCTGTGTCTGATCCACTTGTACCGGCGCAACACACACTAACACACCACCACCGCGTCAGTGTTAGTGCAGTGCTGAGAATGATCCACCACCCAAATAGTACCTGCTCTGTGAGGGTCCATGGGGGTCCTGCCCACTGAAAAACAGGGTAAAAGGGGGCTAACAAATGATGCAGAGAAACAGAGTGCACTACAAAGTGCACCTATAAAGTAAGTGGAGCTGATAAAATGGACAATGAGCAAAGAGGTGGTCATAATGTTATGCCTGATCTGTGTATATATATATATATATATATATCTGATGTTGTGAATGGAGAGAACACTCTAAAACATGTCAGGCTTCAGTCCTTGCGGGCCAGAACACTGCAGTCATTAGCATGCTGCCTCATTATACACCTGATTCAGTTTATCAGCTAATTAGCAAAGCCTTCATGAACTGAATTCAGAGCATTAGATGAGGGTAAACTCTAATCTCTATAGCATTTTGGCCCAGAAGGTCCCCAGTTTGACATGCCTGTTCTAGAAGAACATGAGAAAAATATTGTACAACAGTGTGAATGGAGAGAAGACCTCCATTCACCTCAACACCACCTCAAGCAGGGTCAAAGTGCAACAGCGACAGTATGGTTTTTGCCAACTTTGGAGGGTGGATGATCAATTATGCAGTGAAGCAACAATGAGGCAGACATAACGTCATGGCTGACCTTTCCTTTTTTAAAGTATGAATCAGCAGAAGGTCAGATCAGCCTCATTGTGCTCTTCAGAAGTGCCTGACAGAGGAACATTGTGTGAAACTAGAAATGCTCCTAAACTACAAAGAACATACAGGAAAAAAAACAATCAAACAGCAAAAGCATGGAATGAACCATAGCAACTATTTGATTTCATACTGCATTCTACATGCATTCTTAAAAAATGGTTCTTCAAGGGTTCTTCAGTAAATGAACCCTTAACATCCTTAACTTACACAATCACACGAAAGCATAAATGGTTCTTTGCATGGTTAAACAGTTCTCCATGATGGAAAACCTGTACAGTGTAGTATTTTGAAAATTCTCAACAGCATTCAAATCAGGAGGTTGGCTAGGCCATGCTATATGGAAACCTGTCTTGAGTTATTTTGGCTGTATGTTTGAGGTCACTCTCTTGTTGAAATGTCCATCTTCTCCCCTTGCTTGACTAACGAGAAGATTCTCCTCAGACATCTCTTGATACACTGCTCCATTCATGTTTCCTTCGATGACAGATAGTGCCCCAGTACTGCTTGCTGAGAAGCAGCCCCATATCATAATACTCCCACCGCCATGCTTCACTGTGGGTGTGGTGGGATCATGCACACAATTCTTCTTTCTCCAAATATGATTAGATTCATTATTGCCGAATAGTTCTTTTTTGTTTTGTCTGATCAGACTGCACTGATCCAAAAGTGATCTGATATGTCATAATATCTTTGTGTAAATTTTTCATGTGGATCTCTGCGCATCTTTTTTAGCAGATGAGTTTTGTGTGGGATGTACGATGGGAGATGACTGTCTCACAACAACTGCTGTATCATAACTGTAATGTTTGCTTGGGTGTAGTGTGTTAGCTTGGGGCTAAAACATTAGCTCGTGGCCAGAAAAACAGATCAGGGCACAGTAAAGCACAGCTTTTGTTTCAAAACTTGTACTTGTGTAATGCTCTAAAACATTAAAAATGGAAACATAAACATATTAACATAAGGCACATTATCAGCCATGATTTTCTGGGTATCAAATCAAGACACAACCACATCATATTGAATTAAATTTTGAATTTTGTGTTGTTACACCCCCTAGTAGGCTGCTTGTGTAAGCCTTGCTCAAATATTCTTATACTTATTTAGCAAAAAAAAGAAAGTTCATTTGTGCCCTGCTCTCCCCTTTACACCACAATTATAGATTACAATATGACAGTACCACAAAAATATTTAAAAAGGTGAAAATATTACAGATTATTGCAGAAGTACTATTCAGCACCATAGAAATCTTCCAGTATTTTTAAGGATTGATACAGATCCTCTTAGTAAGGCAGAGGTCTTCACTTTTTTTTGGAATCACTGTTCGATGTATCACAGGTCAAGCCAATCAGTTACACCAACAGTTCAAGTAACTACAAAATTATAAAACCTAGAACTGGAAACTGGATTCAACATCTGGAATAGGGTTCTGATTCATTTACCTGACAGACTAAAGTCTTGAAAAAAAGGCAAAAGTTGAGATGTCATCATCTTTGATCTATTCAACACCTACGTGAGCATCCTACTAAATTTAACACAAAAATAACTTGCCCTTTAGCTAAGCTCCTGTAAATGCTTTTAGGAATTCATACTTAACAGGCTGACTCTTAACAGCTTATGTCTGGTAAAGTGTAGCATGATTTTAACATGGTGCCATCTAGTGGACAGACCATAACGCTTGACAGATTGAGTGAGGTAAACAGAATCAGAACACGCTGCTGAAATCGACAAAGAACAGACAACTTCCAAATTCAAACGCCACTTCAAACCAAATGGGATTTGAATAGAATTGATGAGGTCACGAAAAATAACAAAACATGCATAAAAGTTTTTATATCCACATAAGCCTAACAACTAAATCTTTTTTTTTGAGGAAAGAAATTTTTATTTTGGGGTGCAAAATGCTTTGCTTGTGGAAACAAGCTGCGACATAGCAGCCCCTATGCACTCCAGTGTCCCAGTAATTAACAGAGGCTCTTTGTCTCTGTGGTATTCCAACTTGGAGTGGATGAGTTCCAGGCTAAAAACGAGAAGAGTGGACAGTACTGCTGGTGAAGGAACTGAGCAGTTGACACAGTGGTTCAGAAAGTTTTAAATAGGGATGCACTGATATGGGAATTTTGGGCCTCGGCTGATATCTGATACCTTCATGTGCACATATGCTGATGCTGATATATAAAATCCACCTGGACTTACATTACAGAGAAATATAACACTTCTTTGTATATCCTCCTCATTTTATTTTTCCCAGGTATTCTAGCTCCATAGAAGCAGGTACGTCACCACAGTCACTTGTATGTGTTTGTACAGACTTTTCTTTACTTTTTGTGGACTGTAGACACTGTTTCTATTGGTTGGCCATTATTAGAACATTTTCTTTTATCTTTTAATAAACAAAAACATTTTTTTTATTTTATCCTTCTGTTTTAAAACATTAGGTTATAAAAAAGGTACAACTACGTAAATTTCCCCAGGAAAACACTTAATAAAGGTGCACAGTCAGACCTTCAAACCATTGTTGCACCCTTGAAGGTACATTTACATTGTTTGTACCATGATGAACAAAACTGTACTTGCAAAGTGCCTTTATTCTGATAACGTGTAACTCGGTGGTAACCAAAATTTGTGTTTTTATCCATCTGAAAACAGTTTTGTTTGATTTGGAGAGCAGATCAGACCTGCCTGAATTGATGGGAGCACTTCACTACAATTACTCTTTTTATTCTGCTGTTTTTGCATCAGTGACCTTGATTGTTCAACCCACTTGGTCATTTAAAATGTAGCAATGTAAATCAATGCGTATGCTTTATGTTAAAAATACTTTGTTTATTATTATGAATGAACATTAATATTTTCTTCTTTTTTTCACTTTTTGTTTTTACTTCATGCAGAAATCCAGGTGGTTCCAAGAGTTCAGAAACCTATTCATGCACATTTACATACAAGAAACACAGAAAAAGTGCATTGCTTGCTTTGTATCTTGTTATATTGGTGATAATAAATGTGTTCATTGTTCAAAAGCTTACACATTTCATGCACCCAAGTCCAAATGTCCAGTATACTGGACACTGATTTTTATATGCTTCCCAATAAAAAAGTTTGTTATTTAGTACAAGCAGTGAACATGTTTCATGACATTTGTCTGTTTTTAAAGTGTCCAGTCTCAGTACTGTCTCTTCACCAGATCACTTTACAATTGACTATGTATGTATTTACAATTGACGATGTATGGACAGGTGCTGTTCTTAACCCCCTATTTTTCATTAGTAATATAGTTTCCATTGTCTATATTTCACTGTGGTGTAAATAATTCCTCCAATGACACTTATGCATTTAGTGAGTTTTTAAAAATAATTCTGAATTTTACCAAAAGAACCAAACTGTGGTGAAAGACTTCATGATGCACTGAAGCATTTTTAAAGGGCTGTAACTAAATCAAATCACTGTGAGATCAGACATTCCCACCTGTATCTAATTGTATTTTTATCTATATTTTGTGCATGCTCTCACAGAGAGACCGCTTTCCCTGTTCTCCACAAGGTGTCAGCACTGCTTCATTTTTGCACATAACCTCAGCCAAACATTGAAACTCCTGTCACAACACAG